GTCAAGAAAGGAGCCAAACCAAAGTAGGACCAAAGCAAGAAAAAAGATGCTGGGAATCTGGTTTCCTGTAGCACTTCAGTAGAAGATTCGGTCCCTCCCTCCCTCCGTTCTCTCTCTCTCTCTCTCTCTCTCTCTCTCTCTCTCTCTCTCTCTCTCTCTCCCCTTCCCTTTTCTCTCCTTCCCTCCTCCTTCATTCCCTCCTCTTCCTCCTCCTTCTCTTCTTCCTCCTCTTCTTGTATTTTGAGACAAGGTCTCACTGTGTAGTTCAGGCTGGCCTTGAACATGCACCAATCCTCCTACCTCAGCCTCTTGAACACTGGAATTACAGGCTTGTGCCACCATGCTTGGCTTTGTTTCTTTCTTTTTACTTAAATTATAAGCAAAATGAGGAAAACTAAAATTAGCTTTTGCCACACAGAACTCTTGGTAAATTGTATAGCTGCATTACTAGCTTAACTTTTGGGGGTATTTCCTTCCAATATAATCATTTTGAATGCAAGCTATTTTTTTTTTTTTTTGGATACCGGGGATCAAACTCGAGTCCTTGCGCTTGCGCAGCAGTCAGCGAAACCACTTAGCTAAGTCCTTGGCCCGCAAGCTATTTTTTTAAAAACGATATTCTGTGAACATGTTTTCAGGTTTTTAAATTTATTAATATTTTTATATACATTTTGTTTTCTTTTTTGGTGCTGGAGACTGAACCCAGGGCCTCATGCATGCTAAATATGCACTTCACCACTGAGCTACATCCCTAGCCCTACACACATCGTTTTCATTGGTCACCTCATCTTTGGTTGGTGTGGATTTGCTCTACTGGATGTTAACTACCTGCCAATTAGAAGACACTAGGATTTGTCTAATTTTCATCATTTTAAACAATATAAATCTTAGATAAATGTGTGTATCTGTGATTTCCTTAGAGTAAATTCCTAAAAGTAGAATAGTAGGTACAGAAGTGCGTATCTGTAAGTTTTTTGGATTTGAATTTCTGTATTAGTCAGCTTTTTTATTGCTAAGAGAAATACCTGACACTCGTAATGTAAAGGAGGAGGGCTTTATTTGGCTCACAAATTCCAGTGATTTCAGTCCATGGTCAGTCATGGCTCCAAGGTGGAGGAAAGCTGCTTAGCCCAGGCCAGCCAGGAGGTAGAGAGAGGAAGGGGCTCCTGGGACAAGACTGCACCCTTCCAGGTCACCCCCCCGCACACACACTCCCCAGGCTTTGGGCACACCAGGCAGGCACGGTACCATTGCACCACTGACTTACACCTTTAGCCTTGAAATCTTTTCTTTTTTTTTTTTTTAATGTTTGATTCTCCCCTCACCCCCCATTTTTGGCATTGTCCACTTTCTACAAGATATTTTCTTACAGAATTTGTCTTTTTATATAGTAAGGATATTAATCCTTTATTATGCACACAGCAAATATTGCTCCTGTATATTTTTTCCTTTTCATTGTTTTTTGCATGTGGTTTCCCAAAAGGTTTTATCTTTTTGTTTTTTACTACTAGAGATTGCATCAAGGGCCTTTGCACTTAGCTACATCACCAGTCCTTTCTTATTTTTTTTGTTGTGAGACAGGGTCTTGCTAAGTTGCCCAGGTTTGGCTGTAACTTGGGCTTCTCCTGTCTCAGCCTCTCAGAGTGCTAAGATTATAAACATGTGCTATCACGCTCAGCAAAGTATTATTTTTTAAAACACACTTTTTTTTCCTGGTACCGGGGATCGAACTCAGGACGTTGTGTTTGCAAGGCAGGCAGCGGAACCACTGAGCTAAATCCCTGGCCCCTAAAACACACTTTTTATTTTGGAATAATTTTAGGTTTACAGAAAAATTGTCAAGATAGTAGGGAGAACCCTTGTACATCTTCAACCAACTTTTCTTGCCATTAACAGCCGATAAAACCATGCCATATTTGTCAAGATGAAAAACTACTTTAAAATTTTAAAGGTTCCTTGTTTAAAAGTGCAGCAGAGAGTCAAACAACTCTGATGTAATCTTCATCTTTCTCAAATGGAAAATTGGGTTTAAAGCTTTTTAATTGACATTTGGAGCACATTTCCTCCTCTCAGAAACCATGATTTTGCATATTTCCCAGTCAAACCACTGAAGCCTATCTAATCCACCATACTCTGAAACATATAACTAATGGTTTATCAATTGTGCTGTTGAGCTCATTGCACCATAAATAACTGTGTTTCCATAGGCAATGACGTCCAGAGTTTTGATTTTGTAGAGCTCTGAAGTCTGAAGACTGTCCCGAAGAGTTAGTTTGTGGCTGTGTTTCCTCCAGGGTAAATGAGACGTGTGCCTAACATCATCCTCATGAGGAGTAACCTGCTATTAGGGCGCTTTCCTAAAGAGAGCTATCATCATTCTCTTTCTACATTACAGCTTCCCTAGGGAAGAGTCACTAAAGCAGCACTTGGTCTAAAATGGTCTTTTCCTAGAGCCGTGGAGAATCACCTGTCTAATCGGGCAGTGCAGTCAGAGCTGTGAGCCAGGGCTATGGATGGAGCACCTCAGACCAGCTCTGGGGTTCTGCAGAAGCCTCCTCTCTTAGGCCCTCATTTCCGCTTCAGAAAAGCAAGTGGCCTTCCATGATCTCTTTCCTGTTGGAGATTTTCTTAGTGATTGTCAAAAGCTGATTTTATTGGGGATGATGGTGGTTATGTGATATGTGATATTGATTGTGTGATAGTTTCATCACAAGTGTAAACTTACGTCAAAACTTACCAAATTGAATGTTAAAATATAATGTAGTTTATTTATGTCATGTATAGCTCAATACAAATGTTTAAAAAACAGATTTCAGCTGTGCCTGGTGGTGCAGGCCTGTAATCCCCGCACTTCGGAAGGCTGAGGCAGAAGGAATCAAGTTTAAGCCCAGCCTGGGCAATTTAGCAAAATCCTGTCTTAAAATAAAAAATAAAAATGGGCTGGGAATGTAGCTCAGTGCAAAGGCCCTAGATTCAACCCCCAGCACCACAAAACAAAAACAAAAATAAAAAAACAGATTTCATAACCAGGTGTGGTGGTGCATGCCTATAATCATAGCACATGGGAGGCTGAGGCAGGAGGATTGCCATGAGTTTGAGGCCAGCCTGGGCTACATAATGAGTTCAAGGCCAGCCTGAACTACATAGCATGACCCTATCTCAAAAAACCAAAATAAACAAGCAAAAAAACTCCCCCAAGACAATAACAACAAAACCCTCCCAAATCCCCTCTTTGAAAGCATACAGTAGGAAATTAAAGCAAATTTTTACAGTAGTACCTCACAAAGTGCAATAGCTGGGTGGGGAGAAGTTAGGGGCAGCAGGAGAGGGAGCTGTCTGCCCTCCTTCAATTCTCTCTGGAAAGTACCCTTTCCAGATTTCACCAACACTGGGCCAGTGGACTGTGACTGTTCCATGCTAAGGTACCTCAAGAAGCCCCTCCCATACAGCCCACTGCCGCTGCCCTGTCCAGGCTCCTCCTCTTTAATCTGGATTCCTCTAAGATGCTCCTGGGGGCAAGTTTTCCTCCTAACCCAGTGGCTTGCATAGCTTTCCCACTCCCCTTCCACCTTGTGTCCTTACACAGGCGACTGCCCTCTCATATTTGTCTCTGCAAGTCCTCCCTGCAAAGACTCAGCCTCAGCTCCATCTTTTCCAAGAAGCCGTTAACTGATTCTCCAAGTACATTCATTTCAATTCATCGGGGTACTGTTTATGCGATTGTTTCTGGGGACATAAGGATGCATTATTATCTCGACCTCTTGTTTTTTGGTTTTCACTCTGACTCTGAAGAGGGGAAAAACCAAGTCAGTGTAGTAATTTCTTCAAGCAGAAACACAATATACATATATTTACCTTTCCCTTTCAAGCAGGTACTTGAACGTTCAAACCTAGGGATTTAAAGTTCATGCAGATGAAGAATTTGTCATACAGGGGACAGATGAGAATTTCTTTGCAGCTGTCTGTGCTTGGTTTTTGCTCAGCTGGAAATACTGTAATGTGCGTGAACAACTAAAATGCAATAAAGTGGATTCCTTAAAGAAAATTGGTGTGCTATGCAATGAAGAACAAAGTCAGATTATTATAGGTCTATGTTTATGGACAAGAAAAGATCACTTTTGTTAAGAAATTAAAACTTTTGTTTAAAAAAGTTGTATGCAATGTAGTCTAATTTTTGTTTAAGAAAAAAATTGAAAGCATCAAAAGAAATTTAAAATTCAAAAGAAAAGTAGATACCAAATGGTTTTCTTTGGGTGGAAGAATTATTGGTGATTAAATAAAAACACTTCCTTTTAATCCAAATTTTCTGTAACAAGCAATGTCATTGTTATAATCAGAAAGACTTTTGTTCATTTTAGGAAAAAGCACAGAAATAGGGGTATCAATTTGGTGCAAATGCAGATGGATCACTTTAGAGACAGCACAAAATTGAATATTAAAAGGTGTTCTGGTTTGTTTTTAATACAGAGTGACGACTGGCATGGGCCACATCTATAGGGACTTTGAGCAGATGTGGACTGAGTGATTGCAGTGTTTCAGGGTAAACATTATATAAAAAAAACAAATGAGCAAACTAATGGAATGTGATAGACAGGATGCCTGAGTAATTACTATAAATGTTCTGCCTTTTTTTTTTGGTTGGGGACCCAGAAAGGACTTTAACCTCTAGGACTGTTAATCTGGCTTCTATCACTGGGGAGAGTTAGTAGCGCTTTATGTTTGAAATCACAAATGCACGATTTGCCCTTGGTGTGCTCTGGCAATTGTGTTTTCTTTCCATGGAAATTTGTTATCTCATCCTAGGAATGGAAAATGTACAGATCGGCGGTATCACACCTGTGGGTGTCTATAACCTTGAGATTTTCATATGAAGGTGGGAATTTTACCATGTGTGAATTCACTTGAGTTCTCGCAAGGCAAGTGATTGGCCTCAGCTGCACTCCCTATAAATAGAGTTCAGGAGGGGCTCTGAATTCTGGATGCTGGGAAAAGCCTTGACAATGAGGTTGATCCTGTTATTTGGTGCCCTTTTTGGGCATATCTACTGTCGACAAACATTTGTGGGGTAAGTTATGTTTTCTGGTGCTTGTCTGAATTCTACCTACCCGATTAATGGAGACTCTCATTTGTTGATTACAGAATAATAGGTGTGTGTGTTCAGCATTTTCAGTATTCTTTTAGATTTTTGAGACCACAGTGGGAAAAATAGAGTGATCATGGAAGAGATGAATGGTGTGGAAAGGAAAAGTGTCAATTGTCAAAAAGTTTATCTCCAATAAAGTAACTTCTAGTTGGAAATAAAAGATAGACTTGCACTAGGCATGGTGGTGCATGCCTGTAATCCCTGTAATCCTAGCACTGCGGCTGAGGTAGGAGGATCAAAGCAAATTTGAGGCCAGCTTGGGCTACGTAGTGAGTCCAAGGCCAGCCTGAATTTAATCAAGACACTTCAAAAAAACCCCGTAGGATTGCAATCCCTGACACATGTGCACAGGACAGGAGAACAAAGGAAAGGCCTCTTGTATGCTTGTATGGTTGGAGAACAAAGGAAAGGTTAGGGGTTTTATCAGGACTGAGAAATCTACTCAAGTGATTTTGAATGAAAGCTCATCGGTGCTTGTGGGAGCTGGTGAGATCTGATTGATAAGTGGGGCAGTTACTAGATAAAGTTAGTTCTAAGATCATACTTGGTAGTTTCTTCATCATTGCTAGGTAAAAGTAGGATTCTTTTCTTGGCTTTTTTAGACTAGGTCTTGCTATGTAGTCCAGGCTGGCCTTCAACTCACCACAGAGCCCAGACTGGCCTTGAACTCACTGGGATTACGGGTGTGTGACACCACACCCAGGCTAAGTAGTCTGGAATATAAGAGAGGCTGTTTTGTTGGATTGGTTCTGTGAGAGAGAATCTGGGGCATGCGTCCAGGGACCCTTCACTCTATTTTAGTGGAGTGTGACAGGCACAACTCCATTTTGTATAATGAATTTTCACAAAAAAGAACATACATAACCCAATTTCTCCACATCCTTACGCATTTTTTCCTCCGATGATCAGAACGAGGGGATGATAGACATCAGGGAGGATTGAGCCACTCGGCCATTTGTCACAGTAAGTGTCAGGCTATTCTTTCACCTCCTTCTGGCCTGTCTGGGTTTTATCCCGAATACCAGCCCCTGTCCTCTCCTATCTTCAATTTAGTGTCTGTTTGGTGGAACCTCAGGAAGTGGGAAGGCCAGGACTGTAGATTTCACCCCAACTTCTCTCCTGCCTTTAGGGTGCATCCTTCTCTGAAGGGCTTTGGTTTCAAATTCTGTGAAGAGATTTGGGCAGCATTTTGGGATAGTGTTTCGGGGAACTAATGAAGCAGTCAAATAAATTTGGGAATCAGGGGGTTAAACAAACTAGGATTTCTAGGAACTTTGACTAAATTAGCATGCACTATAAATCTGTAAGAGGGGATCTTGATTGCAAAACAGATGTCAATTTTATAAAAATTTTCAACCCCCTCCTTTTTTTGTGTTTTTTGAGAAAAGATCTTGCTATGTAGTTCAGACTGGCCTTGAACTCACTGTGTAACCTAGGCTGACCTTGAACTTGCAGCAATCCTCCTGCCTCAGCCTCCCGAATGCTGGGATTACAGGTGTGCACTACCATGCCTGGCTCCTCTTTTTTTTGGCTAGGCAACTCAAAGGATGACTGTTCTTTAGAACTCACATCAAGAAACATTAGCCTAATGTATTACTTTATCTTTTTTTTTTTTTTGGTACCGGGGATCGAACTCAGGTCCTTGTGCTTGCACAGCAGGTGGCGAAACCACTGAGCTAACCCCCCGCCCTTACTTTATCATTTTAAGGAGGACCCCGCGAGTCTGTGCTTTAACCAAAAATAATGAGGCTCAAATGGAGGAATTTTCAGACCATTTTGTCCACATGGATACTTGGAGGCAGAAGAACCTTGAAGAGTGAACATTCTGTCATTTGTGTATTCCACTAGAGTTAACTAGAAATTGTGTGTTGCTTGCTTTCAGAAAATGTGGATTCTGGTCCCTGTCTATGGCTCACTGTACCTATTTGTTTCCCTCTGTACAAAAGGACAGGACATCAGCTTTTTTGGAAAAAAGGGATAGACCAGGAAAGGTTCTGTCCCCAAAGAAGAGGCTATAAAAATACAGCTTTTTTTTTTTTTTTTTTAACCCAAACTCTTTTCTAAGAATATGTATTTGCTTGTTTTAGGGTCTTTCTTTTCTGCTACCGTGTCTCCGATAATGTTTATTTCCATTGTAAGTGTGTGCATGTGTGTAAAAAGAGGCACAGCATGATTTGTCAGGGTCCCAATGTCTCCTAGCTAGGTCCCAAGTTTGGGCCATATGAATGGGCTTTGGAGATGGAACTCTGATACATTTTAGTTGCAAAAACAAGAACAAAGAAAAGATAACAACAAAAAAATCAAACCCAGAAACACTCAGGTCTATCCAGATGTGAATTTGATTTTTCTTACAAACATCAAATTAATTATCCCACCTTTAAAATGTCTTTTTCTCTCTGAAAAACAACAACAAACAAGTTTTAAAAGCCACTGCTTTATGAGCAGCAGGTGTTATTTGACAAATACTCATTAGCTAAAGGAAAAGTAACTTTAATGGCAGGCTTCCTGCTAGGAGCAGGCACACCTCTTAATTAGTATTTAGATAACATTTCCTTGGAGGAAGTAGAACCATTCTGTCACCTCCTAATCTGGGGATGTGGGTCAGTATATGATTTATTAGTTTCTGCACTGTCAAAGATATCATTGTCTGTTGCACTCATTTCTTAGATAGAGGCTGACAGGTGCAGAAAGCAACAGGAAAGATTGTCCAGGTTTGTTGTAAGGTCATGTCTCTGGTTAACATTCTTTAGAGACCAAGTTCTTGAGATCATCCCAAAGAATGAAGAACAAATTAAAACTCTGGTGCAACTTGAAGCTGAAGAACATCTCCAGGTATTTGTCCTAGGGAGGGCTTTTGTTTCCCAGAGTCAGACCCCATGGCTAAGGGCTATTTTGGATTGTATTTAACAATTTTTTTAATAGTACATGCTTGCAGTACATAACGATAATATTCCTTGTGTGGAGTTGGTATATGTGCATAACACGTCCCCATTCCTTTTTTATTCCCTTCTCTTCCCTCCTTCCCCCCTCCCTCTATCTCTTAGTCCCCTTTCCTTTTTGCAAAAGATCTATCTTGACTCCTCTGACATATGGTATTCCAAAAGCCTGGACTCTAGTCTCAACTACATAACCCTGGGGAAATCACCTATCTTTCCTGTGACTCATTTTCCCATTCAGAAAAATGGGGATGAGTATATGATTCTATCTCATGGTTATATTGTAAAAGCGAAAAGAGATTTTGAATGTGAAAATTACCTTGAAAAATTGAATACCTTTAATGTATTAATTCTCTTCTAAAATAATTCATAGTACTAATATCCTATTAGGAAATGGACTGGATCATTTGGATACTAGGTGTTTTTGTGTTTTTTAAAACTTGCCACAGTTTTAAATAATCTTTTCCACTGCCAGTTGTATTATCTAGCCATGGGTGGGGGAACCAATATGACACATAGGCTGATATTTGGATATTTAGATATTCTTGTTGCCATATGATAGTGATTTCGCAATGATTCTAGTTTTGGGACTCAAAATAAACTAGGTAGCGAATTGATTTCTTGAAATCCATCAATGCTGAACCATCTATTTTGCCAGAACAACCCACTCATTGTCTTGGCTTTGCCTTTTGTCCTTTTCAGCTTGATTTCTGGAAATCACCCACCACTCCTGGGGAGTCAGCCCATGTCCGAGTCCCCTTTGTCAGTGTCCAAGCAGTCAAAGTTTTCTTGGAGTCCCAGGGAATTGCTTATTCTATCATCATTGAAGATGTTCAGGTAAACGTGCCATTGACTAGCCTTCCAGAAACTTTCTGGCCCACGTGAACTGGGGTTCCACCCTCTTTTTCCTTGAGTACTCTTTGTTGGGAAGGTTTCTGTGGGGATCACTAGGGTCCTCCAGCAGGATGGGCTGCCCATGCAGGGTGTGGAGGTTGGTGCCCTCTTTCTCACCTTGGCTTTCGGCACAAGTGGAATATGGTTACAAAGAGCTGATGGGTTAGGGCAAAAAAGAGACGATAGCATTTAGTATAAAGTGCAAACTGAAGGTTGTTAGCCAAAATAGGGAAAAGCAAGCTGCTACTCAATTAGGGTTTAATTAGAGGTTGACTCAGAAAAGTGGGATGAGCCATGTAAGACTGTGCCTGCAGGGCCGGGGATTTAGCTCAGTGGTTTCGCCCGCCGCCTGCTTTGCAAGCGCAAGGACCTGAGTTTAATCCCCGGTACCAAAAAAAAAAAAAAAAAAAAAGGCTGTGCCTGCAAGCCCTCCACACACTGCATCGTCTGACTGGCTGCATTCCCGTTAATGGCCTATCCCCCTTTAGAACTCTTGCTGTCTGAACAAGAGGCACTGAGTCCACAGGGCAGGGAAAGGAAAGCTTGGTACTACGGACTGAGTGTTACCATTTCCTCATGTTATAGATCAAAAGGAATTGCTATCAACTAATCATGCATAGAGTTGGTTTATTTTAGGTTCTCTTGGATCAAGAGAATGAAGAAATGCTATTTAATCGGAGAAGAGAAAGGAGTGGTAACTTCAATTTTGGAGCCTACCATACCTTGGAAGAGGTGGGTTTTTCAAAATGAACATCAAAACAATGGGCCTCCTCTCTCCTCAGGTGACAGTGGCACTACTTCCACATAATTTAATGATCTAGAAATCATTCTCTTATTATTTCCTAGCCTCTCCAAATTTCTCTAGGATTTCACAGCCAATACCAGGATCACCCATGGGACCCAAAGTCCACCTGTCCATCCCAAGAGCCACACACTTACTTTGGAAGTGTACAGAAGGTCTTAAGTGAGCCCACAAATAGCTCTCTCACTCTCTTTTCCACCCTCTTGCTGTTACTAGAGTTTTGAGGCAAAAGTCTCAGTTCCAGGGATCTTAGCAGACCAGGCTTGGCCTCCTGTCCCAAAATGCCAATCAAGTAGTGGTGAAGGGCAGGAAAGGAGCTGTAATCCGCATGGCCATGCTGGAAGCACAGAGTGGGTCAAGATGTCTTCAAGAGGCTAACAAACTTTGGGGTTGTATAGAAAAGGGGAGCAAAGGCAAGGGCTGGGGTTTGCATAGCTGGCAGTGTAGATAATCTTGGTCAAGTCGTTGGTCTGGTTGGTCAGTATCTCAGAGGTTCTGGGAGGCTCTGGGAGGGCCATCACTGCTTGAGGAAGCAATTGGTTCTCATCATGAGAAGCCAGCTCCTGCTTTGGGGTGGGAGAAGTCTCCATTGTCATCATAGGGTTGTTCCTACTTAGGAGTGTGTGTGTGTGATCTCATCAAGGGGTGGTCTGCAGGCTCTGCCTTTTCTGGAAGCCCAGGTAATTGTAGTTTTAGGATGATGACTTCTACACATCACTCCACAGGGTCTGGAACTGGATGTTGTTATAGCTGGGAATCAGATGTCCCAGCAGATCCTGAAAATTACTTACTCCTATCTTGATGGTCTTAGTTTTGAAGAAGGATGATATAGCCTAAGTGGGTAAATTTAGGGCTCATAAGCCTTGTAATATTCCTTAAGTGATTAACATGCATATGTGCAGAGCTGAGCAGTGATCTGACCTAAAATATTAAAGTAGTGAGGAAGGCATAAAAATGATAAAAGATACCAAGCTTTATCCTGCTTTTAGTTCCACATAGGGCATCTGCAGGCCTAGGCTCCAAGTCCCTGTAACGTTGCCGATTTCTGACCTGAACACCCAGTTCGCGGAGAGCTGTATCTCCAGGCTGCCATCAGTGGTACAATCAGGGGTCACTTTTACATTTCTGACCTCCAAGCAAGGATGGGGTCTCTCCGCCTGCCCAGGACTGCAAGGCTGAATGGTAGCAAAGTCTATGTAGTCTCTGCTGTTTCTCCTGAGTTATGTCATGTGACGCAGCTGGGTCACATGGTGCTGGCTGGGTCACATGGTGCTAGCTGGGCACCCAGGTATCCCTGCATTTACCTCTGTGACACAGAGCAATTCTTGGGGCCCAGGGGATCTAGCTACACTGACTTAGGAGTGAGGTAGTGGTGTGTGTGTGAAGATGTTAATTGTGGGGTTCAGGGGTGACGTGCCAAATAGGAAAGAGCCAGAGAGGATGTATCTGATAAGTACCAAATCTCCATAACAGCAACTTTAAAATGTAAAGAGCTCTCAAATTGTTTTTCCCTTAGTTTATGTGGTGGTACAATCTGCTCTGACTTAAACTTATTTGGGGGCAAAAGTCTGCCCTGAACTGACTTGATGATTTGTTTCACTGCTGGAAATATTAACACGCTTGAATATGGAGCAATGTCAGATGTGTAATACACAATATGTGCTCCCTACTACTTTAAAATTCCCGCCTTCAAAAACACTCGTGCGTGTGTGCAGTTTGGCTTAAAAAAGAAAAGGCAATGGAACAAAGAAGATGTGCTCTTCCCCCCCTTGCTGGTCCCACAAACTAGTGCTTGCATCCTGTGACAGCACATGCTGGCAACAGCTGGAGAGGCCTTGGTCCTGGTGACCCTCTAGACACGCCTGCGCAGGCTCAGTGACAGCACTGGCCACAGCTTGGCTGCCTAGAGAATACACAGAATTTCAATGAAGCTTGAAAATAGTAGCCGGTGGCTTGAGTACCTATGCAGCAGGCGCCCCATTGTCTCCAGCCTGCTCCAGTCCTGCCTCGTTTTATAGCACTGGGCTCTGGAGCCATCTTTCCTGATGCATCACCGTCTCTGCTCCTGAAGGCGAGAAGCCCCCTGGCTGGAGAAGCTCCATCTCAGATCTGGGGTTGTGGAAAAGCCACGGGCAAACCAGACAAGTACCATTTTGTTTTCCACAAAACTGGAAAGAGCCAGTTCTGCAGTAGCAAAATGGCTTCTCCTTTCCAGAATGACTCATCGTCCCTGAGCTGGGATTCAAAAAGTCCCCAAGCCTCCAGCCCGGGCCGAGCCTTGTCCCACCGAGTCCCGAGGGAGTGGGGATGGAGGGGAGAGAAGTCACCAATAGACGCGTCCGCTCATTCATTTGCAAATGTCTATTCATCTGAAACATTTCAGATTTCCCAACAAATGGATAACCTCGTGACTGAGCACCCTGGTCTAGTGAGCAAAGTGAATATTGGCTCTTCTTCTGAAAAGCGGCCCATGAACTTGCTCAAGGTACAGGGGTGGGGAAGCAGCGGCCTGTTTTGCTCTCGATGCTTCTAGAATCCAGCCCCTCCCGGCTCTGTCCGCAGAGACCCCCCCCCCCCCAAACCGGTCCTTGCTGGTTTTGAGCATCCTCACCACTCCCCGCCCCCCTTCTGCTGCTTCTTTTTTCTCTTTTCTTGCGCAAGCTGACGCAGGTCTGCAGGAGAGAATTAATGGGCGCGTCCTGATGGATGCACTCGCAGGGGCCCGGGCGGGCGCGCCAATGGGAATCGAGGCGGGGGCGGAGGGCTGGGGAGCGTTCTGTAATTAATCAAGGCGGGAGTTCTTCGCTTTTTTTCTTTTAAAAGCCAGTTTAAAAAAAAAAAAAAAAAAAGACAGAGTAAATTGCCCGAACTGCATTAAAAAACAAAAAGCCAAAAAACCAAACCCAGGAGTGCCGCAGTATGCAGAAGGATGACAGACAACTAAACCGCAAAGGGAAATGTCTTCCCTGAAAGAAGGCCTTTCTTTTAGGTGACAGCTGATAAAAAGGTTAAGGTTTTAGTCCAACTTGTTACCCTAACAGTCGTGGTAGTGGTAATTTCAAGCTTTTGCATTTTGCCCTGAAAAAAAGTGAAAATTATTTCCCCAGACTTCCTAGAAAGAGTTTGTTCAGGGGAGGGGGGAGGTAATGTCACAAATCCCTGCTAAATTTGGAAATGTCATGGCAGGGGACCAACTGAGTAACTGGGACGAATTTCTCCATAGTGGTTTGCCCAAAACAGTTCTGGGAGGAGTGTTTTCCCTGCTTTAAGACTCGGGTGGGTTGCTAAGGCTTACTACCGCATTTCTTTTTAGGTCCTCTTTTTTTCTCCTGCAACTGGGTCTTGAAGCCCCGGATTCCCAGATTCTCCACTTTGGGGTTTCCTGGCCTTCCCTCTTCTAGGGGCTGCAGTGGCTGAGGCTGTTGTATGTTTTCTACTTTTACATTTGAAGTCTTTGAAGGAAAAAGCACAAAACACTTTCAGCTAAACTCTTGAAACCTGTGAAATGTAATTTTTGAGTAAGGATTTGCATTTCTCATTTACCTTATCTGCTATGTTTAGGATGCTGCACAGAGATAGAACTTGATGGTGCAAAAATAATCTTTTCTCTCCATTTACTGATCCAATTGACAAAGCCACTGTTCCAAACAAAACTAAGTCGCTTTGATCATAAAATTTAAACTCCAGAAAGCGGCTCCCAGAGACTGTTGTCCTGTTTTTATGAAGGACTCAAAAAGTTATCACGAGCATTTCTATAGCTAAAATAATACAATGCTTGCATAAATTTGGAAAACAGGGAAACAAACAAGAAAAGGAAAAAGAAACTCAAAAAATCTGTGACTCCATTTTCACAATTGTGGGATAATATCCATAAACATTTTTACTACTTCCTTTGCTCTTTTTTCACTTCCTCCCTCCTCCCTCCCTTTGTGTCAAATGTATGTATAGACGGATACACCCCTGCTATAAACTAGTCTTTTAAAAAATAAAAATGACGTATTATTTTATAACCTGTTTCACCCCCCAATTTACAACATACGATATATTTTCATGTCATTATCTGTGACATTTTACAAACATCAAAGGAGGAAAAATCTATGCCCTTTTTGTTAGCCTGCATTTAAGCTTATGTTAAAAGAAGGTGTGTGTGTGGGGAGGAGAACCAAAACCAAAAAACCTTAAATGAGAATTAATCCAGTGTCACTGCCTATATCTCTCTCCTCCTGCTCTTCTCACAGCAAGAACAGAAAGGGGACAGAAAAGGACCCCTGTGGAGAGGTGGGGGCCAGTCCCCCACAGTGGTGGAGCCGCTTACATCTCCACACTTGTTTTGCAGTTCAGCACTGGAGGAGACAAGCCGGCCATCTGGCTGGATGCTGGGATCCATGCTCGAGAGTGGGTTACTCAAGCCACTGCACTGTGGATAGCAAATAAGGTCATTTTGCCTAAAAGTCCTCCCTTATTTTGTCTTTCTGGGTTCAGGTCTACAAGTAAGCACACGATAGTCCCTGGGGTCCTGACTGCCAGTGCTCTCAGCCAAGTCCTCTTGCCACACGGGTGGGAAACACATCCATCTGACCTTTTTTTGGTGTTGCCCCATCAGGCGCCATGGCACTGTGGCCCTGGGCCAGCCGCTGTGCACTCTGTTATATGACACAGTGAGCCAGAGGAGACGGAAAAGGTGGCAAGTGAGGAAGCCGGGAGTCCAATTTCTGCTTGAGAATAGATTAGAAGAGAGTCTGCTGCCTGGAACTCTGAGGGCTGAGGCACAATATGCAGATAATCTATGAAATCGTGAAAGCAGCTCAGACAGAAAATAGAAACAGGTGCAAGAAGGGTTTACTTTGACCTACAGATCCAAATTGGAATTAGTTAAGGGTGTTTGGATTGTTCTGAAATTTTCTCAAATCTGATTTTGAAGCCAGGATGTAGCAATATCTCTCTTCCACATGTTTGTTGGCATGAGAGTCAGGACATGGGGCTGGGTGTGACCCAGTCTGGTATTTCTTAAGTAATTCAAAAATGACATATTATAAATTAGAATGTTAATTCATGAGCAAAGGAAATCAATCCACATCAGACCATTCAAGCATGTGCAACCACGTGCATACTGACTGATACATTTTTCCCTTCAATTAAAATGCGGTTACCTTTAGGGTATTATGAAATGGATATTTAACAGTTGAATAATAATGCCTTAGGATGGCTGAGCACAGGAAATGAATAAATTTTAATCCAGCAGAAACTTCAGCTCTACTGAAATTGATTGAAAGTAAAAATGTAATTCCCCAAATGGAGTTTAACAAGTTCTCTGTAACCTTAGCAAACAGCTGCATATTTAAGAAATCTGATCTTGGTGAGTTCTTTGGGAAAGCTACCCTGTGTAAGCATGAAGGAATATTAACAAAATTTTCTTTGGTTCATCCATGGACCTATATAAGTCACACATACCATTGCCCACCATCGGAACATGACCCACCAGAATTAGGAAGACAGAGAGAATAAATAAGTGAGAACTGATTTTTACCTAATAGAAGTAATTTGTTCTGACCAAAAATGAAAGTATAGGCATTGGCACGTTAAACATATTAACACCACATGAGGATGGACTGCAGTGGGCTTGGAAGTATTTCATTGATCAACAGTGATCCTTACTTTGCATTTGGAAAAAAAAATAGCCTTAATATTCTGTCCTGTGTTTCCTGCCCAAAGGGGAATATGACTTGCCATATATGTTGTCTCTGGTCAGATTGCCTCTGATTATGGAAATGATCCATCTACCACTTCCATTCTGGACACCATGGATATCTTCCTGCTGCCCGTCACAAATCCTGACGGATATGTGTTCTCTCACACCCAAGTAAGGCTGGACTTTTTTTCTTCTTTCATAAGGACTTAAAGAGCTGTGTAGGAACTTTGAAAACCAAATACAAGTAATCTTTCTGTTCTTGATTTACTCTAAACAGATTGCCTAATCTCTCAGTAGTGGCTCTGAAATGAGGCACAGAAAAGTGTTTATAATCACTTCTTATTCCAACACATGATGTCTTTACATGTCGCCTCAGCCAGAGCCCATTTCAGCTGTTAGTCTGGGCTATTAGAGCTCGGTGTTCACTGTGAGTCACCTAGGAGATTTGTTCCAATTATCTCTGTGTTTTTTTGTGGGGGGATTGATAGAAAAGAGGAGGCGGATGTTACCTGCTGACAATTAGATTGCAGCAGGATTTAGGTAGGCAGCACAATGCGTCCTAGCCTTTTACTTGCAATCTGTAGCAGAAATTCTCTGTAATATCACTCAAAGGAATTGTGTAGGTTTTTTTTCCCTTTAAAATCTCATTACAAAACACCATTGTGGCAATTGTGACCCCACGTATATTCGAAATGAGTCAGAGCTTCAAGTTTATTCTTGTAGAAGCTGACAATGATGATAGCCCTTTCAAAGAGACTCGTACTAACACTCATACTCATCTTATGAGATACTGCATGAATAAAGGGTGCCAGTGGCAAGGATAAGAAATACCGCCCACTATATCCTTCTTAGAGGTTCACATTAAAGCATTAAAAGTCCTTAAATTTCTAAAGTACATTTACCAATTTATCCCCATACTTTTCCAAAGTATTCTGTCACAGAATGTTCTCCCTCTTTCCCTCATTTTTTATTATGGTTGTTGATAGCATTTAACAGCAGTAGTTTTTTATGGGACATGGTTTGACAGGGGTTTATTTTTTATTTTATTTTTTGCAGTACTAGGGATTGAACCCAGGGCCTCATGCTTGCTGCTAGGCAAGCTCTCTACTACTGAGCTACTTTACCCAGCACTTTTTTTTTTTGGTACCAGGGATCGAACTCGGGACCTTGCGCTTGTGAGGCAGGCGGTGGAATCACTGAGCTAAATCCCTGGCTACTTTTTCTTTTTTAATTTGTGAGACAGTGTCTTGCTAAATTTCCCAGGCTGGGTTCGAACTTGTGATCCGTTGAATAATCCTGTGTGAGGACCATGTGATACCTCTGGCGCAAGGGAAATGTGTGCAGTACCAAAGGGAGGCAAGGGAGATGAGCAGAATTCTAAAGGGACCTTTTCATCAGGCTGAATGATCATCCCATATTCTCTTTTTGGGGGGTTGGATTTTAAAGAATCGAATGTGGCGGAAGACCCGGTCGAAGGTATCTGGAAGCCTCTGTGTCGGAGTGGATGCTAACCGGAACTGGGATGCAGGGTTTGGAGGTGAGAGCAGGGACTTGCCCCCTGGTACGGACATACTCTTTGGCAAAGTAGTTGGTTCTCCTGGCCCCGCAGTGCGTCAGTTTGCTAAGCCCACTTAGGATTTGAGCCATTTAAAAACCTCTTTGAAAAACACTTCACCAAATTCCCTTCACAAGAGCTCAGTGCTGTCGTAGAGCTATGAGCAGCATTAAATACATTTTGTCTTACATGTTGGTTTTCCTACAAACTGTAACCTGGTTCAGCTTCCCAGCTGCTGAGCTGCCTGAGCAAGTCTGTACAATGGCGGGAGCTCAGGAAGCCCGGAAGCAACCACTAGAGGGCGTTAGGATCAATTTGGAGGAGAAGCATTACATCATCTTTGGATGCTTCGAGAAGGAAAACTTAAAAAAAGAAGTACAAATAGGATTAAGAAAATGATGTTTTGAAAGAGACTCAAAGATAGAATATTTGCTTGCTATTCTGGTTTTGTTGACTTGCAGCTCCTATATTTTAGAGTTCAGCGGCAGGCGAATTGGACCCTCCTTTGTGCTTTTAGGCTCTGATTGAACATCTTTGTTTCACTAATCGTGGAATTGAAACGTGTTTGGTTTTCTTCACTTACACCAATAGTGAGGTTACCAGCTTTGATTTTTACATGGAAGTATCCTTCTAACACCCTGCACAGAGTCTGCAGCATGGAAGGCAGTCATTAAATATTTGTAAAACAAATGAATTAATGAGAGTTATGGAACCAGGGAAGGACACACTAGGGAATTGTGACAGGATATGGACGAGTGGTAACTTCATTTATTGCTTTAAAAAAATTTATTTGCATTGGGGAAAAATAAAGCACCAAGCCCAAAGTATTGAACAACTGCCCATCCCCTCCTGAAATGTTACCCTTATTAAATAATTTTAATGTAAGATGACAGAGGTTGTATTTACATTTTATCCTGGTCACTTAGCTATGGGGAATTTCAATCTCCTCTTGTTCCCTAAAAGGTTCTCTAGCATTCAGACCCCCTACCAGCCCTACAATGACCCCATTTTAGTGATCTTGAGCAATTAGAGTTGCTGATAGGATCAAGACCAAAGGGCCTTGTCAAATGTAGTGATTTCCTCACTGCAGAAAGAGTGTCATAGGTTCCTAGCATTCGTGGCTTTGTGACTTGGAAGTACAGATGCATAGAATCTTCTGCTCTTGGACTCTACCAATTGGAAGAGATCCCAGAAAATGAACTTGCTAAACTCCCACCCAGTGCAGGAATTCCATCCATAATATTAAATCTAGCTTTTCTTCCAAAAACTCCCACAGTGAGGAGATGATCTAATTTGATAGCTCTTTATGCCATATAGAGGAACAGTATTTTTTTTAAAAGAAGAGATGTGTCCAGAATCACTTTCACTGGCTATCTGTGCCTTTAGGAAGAGACCTGACCTAACACAACGATAACCTTTCTCTGATTTCCAGGAGAGGAACTTAGGGATGTACATGGTATCTTCCTCCTTTCAATATCTTCCTAAAGCTCTCTGTTCTCACTGGGCTTCTCCTGCATCCCACCAGGGCCTGGAGCCAGTAACAGCCCTTGCTCAGATTCATACCATGGACCCAGGGCCAACTCTGAAGTTGAAGTGAAATCCATAGTGGACTTCATCAAGAGTCACGGAGCAGTCAAGGCCTTCATTACCCTCCACAGCTACTCCCAGCTGCTTATGTTCCCCTATGGGTATACATGTACCAAGTCAGATAACTTTGATGAGCTGGTGAGTTTCACAAATTTCATCTTAGTTCTGCAACAATATCCATTATGCGGGTAAGTTTTAGTCATAAAGTTAGGCACTCAGGTAGAGGTGTACTAGTGACAGGTTACAAACATGACAAGACATCATTTGAGCCACTAAGATGGTGATGCAGCCAAAGCTTTTCGAAACTAAGTCTCCTTGGGAAATAGAATTCATGAAATTTTTGTTACTTTATTTTATTTATTTATTTATTTTGTTACTTTAATCTGCATGAGCAGGAGCCCAATTTGACTATAAGTTCCCAGGATGTGCTTTCTGTTGCTTGGGGAGGGAAAAAAAGAAAAGAAAAAAAAAGGCTTAGATTTGGATCTGAGGCTCTTGGACTGGTGGAAGATGCCATTTGCTAAGCAATGCTGTTCCTCATAAATTGACTAATATTTTCTTGGAGCCTTTGGCACTGTCACCTGCCATGATGATGCACTGGGTTTAAAACACTCACTTCCCTAGTTTGATTCCTTCTATCATCTTTCCTGTTTCAGAAATAAGCGAATTGACAGCAGCCTTCCTTAGTTCAGCTGGTGACATCTCAGGAGGTTGTTCACAATTGAGCAAAAGCTATCCCCAGCTGAAGAAAATGTGCAGAGAGTTCCAGTTTGGCCTGTAGGCTTTTTTTTTTTTTTAAGAAAGCCATTTAATTTTAGGTCTTCGTTTTTGTTTTTTGCTTTTGGTACTGGGAATTGAACTCGGGACCTTGTGCTTGTGAGGCAGGCGCTAGAACTGCTGAGCTAAATCCCCAGCCCTATAGGCTTGGTTTTTGAAACCCACATGTTAGGGATAAGCTCAGAATTATGACCTTTTGGACAGTTTACCTGCAAATGGGTTGTTGTCAGCAACCCCAGGAAGAAATGGAATAGATTATTCTAATTCAGATGTATCTTTCATGTCATCAGTTGGATTTTAACCCTGTAGAGTGGTTTTAAGGGTTTTGATGTGACCATTACCATTCAAAGTCAAATAAGGGATGAAGAATGCCAGGGTTGGGCTTTTAATAGTACTTTTAATACATGTAAGTACCTTTAAATTATCTAAACCCGTGACTCAAATCTTTACCAGATAATCATCCAACCTACGACTGAATAGCTTCCTGCTCCCAAGGGAGCTTATTCTGTGGCTGGGCAGGTTTAATTGTGAGTTCTTTCTCCTAGAGAGTTAAAACCTTCTCCCTGTGTTTTTCACTTACTCATCCTGTTATCTTCTCAGCTTTATTGAGCAAATTTATTTCCCTTTGGGAGGTGAATCCGTTAATGATTTAAAGACCAATAACCTGTTTCTCCTAGGTCTTTCCCTACCCCTCCAAAATAACCCCAGTTCCTTTAAGCACGAATAGTATGGGCCTAAGTTCCCTCATCATTCTTGTTTGCTGTTTTTGGAACATGCATTGCATGGTTCATGTTCATCAAAGGTAGCGCCCAGAAGTTAATGTGAAACCTGTGTTGTGGGTTAACCAGTATAGAGCATAGCATGGCCATAACTGCTGTCATCCAGATTGTGTACTTCTGCTATTCCGGTCGAGGGTCACATTAGTTTTTTGGCAGTGGCACCCTTCAGTTGACTCATCTTGGGCTCATTGACAGCTGAAACCCCCAGGCTCTTTGAAGCTTCAGCTGAGCCAGGTTCCCCCATCTGGTAATTGTATAGTTGTTTTCCTGGACCCAAGTTCAAAACCGTACATTTATCCTGAGCAAAGACAGTAAAGCTCCAATCAGTCAAAATTGGAACCCTCAAGTAATGGAAAATATTTTGCTGAGGTCTACTGCTTAGAAAAAAGACAATCACAGGGAAATAAGCCATGTAGGGATCTAGTACAAAAAAAAAATCAACTTCCAGATATATTTTGGGATCAGTATGCATTCTCTTTAGCTCCCTTTTACCCACCCTATTTTTATTCATAGTCTTGAACAGTGATGGTAAAATAATGAATCCTGAGTATTACAAGCACTTGGATTATTCAATAAACATTGCAGGTCTACATGCTGTATCTTCAAGGCCAACAGAAGTACACTTGTACTTGCTTTTCTTTGAAACAAAAAAGGCATGTGCTTCTGCCTCAATAACGAGAATGTCTAGTTAATCATATCTTCCTGGTCTATATTCTGCTATTGGGTAACCAATTTCCCAAGAGACAAGTATTATCCATCCACCTTTCTTTGGTTCATTCTCTCTAGAATGAAGTGGCCCAAAAGGCTTCCCAGTCAGTGACAAGTCTGTATGGCACCAAGTACGAAGTGGGACCAATCTGCTCAGTCATCTGTAAGTATCTCATGTGATGGAAGTTTGTACCAATGACCCACTAAGATGGCAGGCACCATGAGCATTCAGGACAAATTGAATGCCTTGATGTGAAAGGAACAGTAGGCCTTCATGCAAGGAACTCAGCCTACCCAAGTCTCCTCCACAAGATGCTATATGATATCGAGAACAAAGAACTTCCTAAGTACATGAGTTTTATGCTCCCTCCTAGGCTTGTCCAGATCATTACAGCTCACTCATTATGTGGATCTCTTTGTCTAAAAAATAGGCCTTTATCAAAACCTAGTCCTAAATCCTGCTTTTTTAAATTAACCTTCCCTTTCCTGGCTAAGAAGGAATCCTATGGACTATGGGTGGAAGCAGAATGGGTATGGCTCTTTGAGGACCTGGGTAGGGGCTGAGGTATAGATCAGTGGTAGAACATATCTCAGTGTGCAAAAGGCCCTGGGTTCAATCTCTAAAACACACACACACACACACACACGTGTGTGTGTGTGTGTGTGCATGCAGACCTGGATTGTTCAGTGGCTAGATTTCTGTTGCAGGAATATCTCCATGCAGTATATTGGGAGATGAGGAGAAGTCAGAAAAAATAAGGGCAAGTTCAGGAATAAGTCCTGGGAGCCTGCTTTCCGACCTTTTGAGACTCTTCTCCCCAGTAGATTGGGTTAAAAACAAGAAGCTAGTGTAGTGCTGTGGGAAATTTCGGAGATCCTTGTGCAGATTCTGACTCCCTCGAAGCAACAGTCCCTTCCTTTTGGATAGGGCTAGAAACTGAAGGAACACATCTGGGTGTCCATGAGTTCTCTGGTGCCCCTATGCTCAAAGATCCTCTAATAGGCACCCATTCTCTTCAATACACTTTAAGCAAGCTTCTGTTACATGCTAAGTGTTATGCCAAGTACTGGAGGAAGAAGGAGCCTACCAACAATTCACTCTTTACAGGAGCAATGAACAGGACAAGTGAACATTCATTACATACAAGTAGTAGGTTATGCATGGCACAAGTCTCGTACATTTGGGAGGGATTTGACAGTGACTGAGTCAGGAAAAGCTGACAGTTTAAAAAAGAGGACAGAGGGCCGGGGATTTAGCTCAGTGGTTTTACCACCTGCTGCGCAAGCGCAAGGACCTGAGTTCGATCCCTGGTACCAAAAAAAAAGAGGGAAGAGTTTAAAAAATTTTTAAATTATATTATTATTGTTGTTGTTATGATGATGATGACAACGATGACCACACTGGGTATTGGCCCCAGGGCCTTTGCACTGAGCTACATCCCCAGCTCTTTTTTTCTGGGGGTAAAAAGTGGATCACCAGGTAGCTTAGAGAAATAGAAAAAAATGGGAGCTTTCTGATCATTGGAAGGTACACATACACACAGAGGCCCAGAAGTATGAACTTTCATGAAGAGCTGTGGGAATGACAACTGAATCTGGGATCGGTGGAATGAAAGCTATATGAGGGGGTGTTGGGGGAGTTTGTATCTCTGCTTGGCCCCTTTTGTGTGTCATGTTAAGGAGTTCAGATTCTAGAAGCCTCTAGGGAGCTTTCAGCAGGGCAAGGAGTTGAGATACTGTGTTGAGATGAGACATGTTAGCAGCAGTGTGGAGGCTGGGATAATGATGGACCAGAAGTAGGGTGAGTGCAGGTGAGCGACAGTGGCCTAAACCAGAGCAGGGCTAGTGAGAGTGGATAGGATTGGGAGGTAAAGCCAAAAGCCCCTGCTGTTTGTTAGATATAGCGTTTCTCACTGAAGATCATTGAGTAGTGCCAGTCACTGAGAGGGACATCTAGAAGGTAAAAAGGAGTGAAATTGGAGAGATTGTGAGCTGAGTTGTAGACATAGTGAGCTTGAAATACTTGCAGGATATTCAAGTGGAGCTGTCCTGGAGGCTTTGGGTGACATGGCCCTGGGATTCTTTGGAGAGAGAGAGAGAGACTTAGTAACTGAGTTAATGTAGAGAGGGTAGTTGGAACAGGAGAACGAGGAGATATGTGGAATGGGAGGACAGAGGCGCAAGATGTCAGATAGACAGGCTGAGAGCCCTGCATTTCAGGGAGAGAGCCATGATTAAAAAGGAGTCAGTGGTTCAAATAAAGACAAAAGTCAGGAAAAAATCAGGTCAGGTGAAAATGGAACATTTTCCATTGGATTTTCATCACTAGTTTATTGGTGGCCTTAATCAGAGCAGTTTCAGAAAAGTAGATAAGGGAGAGAAAGGGAGAGGAAGGGAAGCCTTTTTTTAAAAAAGAGGTACGATATATTAATAGATTGTGAGAAAGGAACCAGTAGAGAAGGAGAGGCGATGACAGGAGGGAGAGGAAATGACTGATGTAGAATGGTTGCAGAGGAGGTGCACGAAGGGGGTCAGCAGGGGCAGCCAAGGCGGTCAGTCGGGCTGGAGCGAAAGGAGCCATCCTCGGACATACCGTGGGTGTGGGTCAGCTGCAGCCATAGGAGGGGTCGGACTCTGCAGAATGCTCACTCTCTGGCTGGGGTTAGCTAATGGGAGTCTTGGAGAGCAGAAGAATATTTTACTCATTATATCTACAGCACTCCATGGAAGTGCAAAAACCCACTGATCTGGTAATATTCCATGTCGTGAATATGGTGCTCATATTCTTTTCTCAGATTATGGTGTTGTAGTTTTGTTTTTCCTACTTAATGATGCATTTAAGAAAACTTTATAAGAAACAAAGAATCCAATGATCATCATATTTTGTTATCATTTTCAATTTCATTAATGATTTTTGTCAATGAGCACAAACATATTTGTCTAGTTGGAATCCGTGTCTTATATTTTGTGCTCAGTTGTTTAAAGTGATCATCATTTCCTGTGGAGTTTTGTGTATTTATATTTTAGGTATTTGTTATTTCATTATACATATTGCTAACTCCTGGGTCTTTGGATTGTTTCACATTTTTGTTAATAGTGCTACTAGGAACATGTTTGTACAAACTCCTTTTTCTATTACATGATTTTTTGGGAATATATTCCCAGGTGTGATTACCAAATCAATGGAATGAACAGATTTGGAGCTTCTGATACATATTTTTTAGGTTGTTCTCTGGGAAGACTGATCTGCACACAGTTGCTGAGACCACACCCCCTTTTTGGGGACAGGGTCTTTATTTATTTATTTTTGGTACTGGGCATCCAACTCAGGACCTTTCACTTGCGAGGCAGGCAGTGGAACCACTGAGCTAAATCCCCGGCCTTTCCCCCCCCCTTTTTTGAGACAGAGTCTCACCATGTTGCCCAGGCTGGTCTCAAATTCTTGGGCTTAAATGATCCTCCTGTCTCAGCCTCCTGAGAAGCTGAAACTACAGGCAGGTGTTACCATGTCCAGCTTGCTCAGATCTTGCTGAGAACCTTTTAACATGCTCCATATGGGCTTGTTCTCACCTTTATCAGGACATTCACCAGGGAGGAAGGCCCTGTGGGTGGTGGCAGAGGCGACAGAGAAGTGGACATCGCTTGAGACCATGACAGCTTAAGACTGAGGTGTGCATGATTTTGTCTGATTGGCAGCCTTTGAGTGGAGGCTGGAATCCAGAATATCTACTGAATGTCATTGTGTGCCCTTGAGACACTATATGGGTTTTAGCCATTTTATTATAGGAATATAGGGGTTTTTTTTTCACTCACTTTGTCTGAAGGATTTACAAATAAGGTAGACCTTGGAAGGTAGGGGTTTAGTATATTTTCCTCGATTAGATCACAGATGTTGAAGATATTTCTAGTAAGCAAATACCAGACACATACAGGTTCACTGTGTGATCACTTAGAACCTGCCCACTCATTAATACAAGTTCTTGCCAGGAGTTGACACTACTATCTTGCCTTATTCCAGCTTGGACAAGTTCTGTTTCTAAGAACTAGTCCCAGTTAAGGACTCCTTATCTCCTTTCCCTGCTTGGCCTACAGCTCTGGCCTGAACACTTGCTTCTGTCTGCCTGACAGGTGGCTGCATATCTATGGTGGTGAGACATTTCATGGGAAGGCTCCTAGAAAGGGCTGTAAAGACCTGCAATTAATAGGCATTTGACCCAGAAGAAGATGTCCCTAGAGTTCTTTCCCAGGGAGGTGTAGGGGGAAGAGCCCACAGCTCTTGGGGTCAGAGGCCTGGATCTGAGTTATAGCTCTGCCACTTTGGAACCAAGTCACCCTGGGCCAGTCAGCCATCCTCCCTTAGTTTTATCACCCATGAAGTGGATTTTTGAGAGGCTCAAAATCTAGTACATGTATATAGAATAAAAGCATTCCCTAACTCTAAAACACTACATAAGTGTTGATTGCTAGTTTCCTGGTTACCTGCTCTTCTCCAGATACTTCTTATCCTTAATATGGCCTAACTTGACCAGAGTGTAGTCATTTATTGATAATGATAGTTAATGACTGATATTTATTGAATGCCTAGTCCACACACATTATAATAGCTCCATCACTAAATTGCTGTGAATCTGTTTCCTCATCTGTAAAATAGGAGCAGTACGAGTACCTACCTCAGCACTGAGGTAGGGATTAAACACATTGCCTACCATATTTAGTGAGCACTCAGCAAGTGTTGTAATCATAACCATTACAGTATCGTATTTAATTCTCACTGCCCTGTGTAGTAAGTAGTATATCATCCCTATTTGACAGCTGAAGCATCTGGAACTCAGAGAGGTAAGTGACTTGCTCTGAGGGCACCAGCTAATGATTTGCAGGGTTGGGATTCAACCTGAGGCCAGTACTCTGTCCTCTGTGGACTCTCTCCTCTAATGGGATTGGCTGTGTTTTATACACAGAGGTCTAAGTTAGTAATTTTGGTACCCAAGAAAGATTCTGTTCAAGTCAGCAATCATTTAGTATTTTTTATTTCCTGGGTGCCATCATAGCTGTTGAGGATGAAGATAATAACACAAGTCATGAGAGTTCTCAATATTACAGGTTGAGCATCTGCTATCTGAAAATCCAAAAATCCATAATCCAAAACTTTTGATCACTAACACTATGCCACAAGTGGAAAATTCCTCACCTGACTTCACATGACAGATCTGAGTCAAAGTGCAGGTGCACTAAAAATACTGTATAAGATTACCTTTAGGGTATATATAAATCAGGTATATATGAAATATAAATGAATTTCACATTTAGACTTGGGGCCCCTCTCTGAGATATCTCATTATGAAATATGAAAATATTCCAAAATCTGAAAAAAAATCCAAAACACTTCTACTCCCAAGCATTTCAGATAAGTTGTACTCAACCTATAATATTAGCCTCTAGTCCAGTGGTGGTGAACTCCTGGCACACGTGTTGTTTTTCTTTCAAGACAAAAGATATTAGTGCGTAAGTTGTTTTTTCTAAACTAAAACCTCAGTATTCAGGTTTAACTGCAATGTTGACACTTTGTGATAAATAAGTGGGTTTTGGGTTGAAGTTGGGCACTCGTCTCTGAAAGGTTCACCATCACTGCTCTAATCCCTCTCGTTCCCTGGTACAACCTCCCTGGTTTTCCCAGCTCTGTTATTAGGGACTAGGTGGCTTCCTCCATCTCTGCCCCAGCCATGTTCTCTATTTGACCTCTCCCTGTCCTCCCAGGAAGAGGACTTAGGGTCAGTCCACTGCTCAGCTCTCCTGACTCATGAATGCCTTAAGTCTTCATACACCGATGTCAGCTTCCTTCATCATTTGTCATGCTAGGGCCACACATCTCTCAGGTGGATGGTACATATTAGCTTCAGAGAGCACCTGCTTCAGCCTTCTGCTGGGAGTCCCCTGAGGGAAGTGATCCAATCTCTTACTCCTCTTACAATCCCTCATCTCCCACGAGAGAAAACAACATCTGTGCCTTCTGAAGAAGGAAGTGGATTGGCCTCCCTAAGCTGAGGAAGAGGCCAGGTAGGGCAGCAGGCAGGATTGCAAGTGGGTGGGTAAAGCCAGAGGCTTCTGAGAACATCAGAGGAAGGTGAAGTATAGTGTCCATTTGAATAATATCTTTTTTTTTTTATGGTACCGGGGATCGAACTCAGGTCCTTTGCTTGCGAGGCAGGTGGCATGAATAATATCTTTTGTTTGAAAGTATCTTTGAATTTTTTTCATAAACTTGATCCTCAACTAAACTATGTCTGCTCCTGCACCCCATGCATAAGGGGCCTGATTCATCTTTGATCGTGATGGAACTCAATTGAGAGGTTTGTGAGAGGCCAGTGGGAATAGCTTAACCAGACTATTCTTGTTTGCTCTTCAGACCAAGCCAGTGGTGGGAGCATTGACTGGTCCTATGATTCAGGCATCAAATACTCATTTGCCTTTGAACTGAGAGACACAGGCCGCCATGGCTTCCTCCTGCCAGCCAAGCAGATTGTGCCCACAGCTGAAGAGACCTGGCTTGGCTTGAAGACCATCATGGAGCATGTGCGAGACCACCCCTATTAGGGACCTTTGGAATACACAAGCACCATTAAAATCTCTTTGGTTTAAAGCAAAACTGGATTGTGATTATTCCTTTCTCTAATTTGGGAGTACCATGTCTTCGGTTTCTCTCTTCTTTTTGTTTCTGTTTTTGTGTTGCTGGGAATCAAATCCAGGGCCTTGTGCATGCCTGTAAAGTGCTCTACCATGGAGCTACACTTCCAGCCCCCATTTTTTTAGTTTCTCCTGCCCTAAAACACAACAAGCTACTGTACTGTACCCCTTTGTCTTATTTTTTAACCTATCCTAAGCAGAATATTCCTAAAATTCTTTACAATTTTTTATGTGGTGAGTTATATATAGGAAAATTTACCATTTTTGATCATTTTAAAGGATATAGATCCGTGCATTAAATACATTCACAGTGTTATGCCACCATCACTACCATCCATCTCCAGAACATTTTTTGTCATCCCAAATTGAAAGTCTGTACTCATTAAACGATGACTCCCCACTACCCTCTCTTTCTATCTCTTCATAACCATTATTCTATTTGCTGTCTCTATGAATTTGTCTATTCTTGGTACCTCATAGAAGTGGAATGAACCATATAGCATTTGTCCTTTGGAGTGTGGCTTATTTAGGGTAATGTTTTCCATTTGTATCATGTGCCAGCCCCTTCATCTTTTTTTTTTTTTTTTTGGTACCAGGGAGCAAACTTGGGACCTTGTGCTTTTGAAGTAGGCAGTGGCACCACTGAGCTAAATCCCTGGCCTCCCTTCATCTTGATAGTATAGTGTTGTGTTCAATAAATTCTAACCGAGGAACTGTAAGGTGCCAGGCATTGTGTGTGAGAGGTGCATGTCCTTTGGTCCTGTTGTCACCTTTTATTTTTCCATTTCTGGCACTGGTCAGGGCTCAAACCAATGACACTTCTTCTTTGTGGTTGTTCCATTCAGTCTGGTCTCAGCTTCCACAGATACCTCTTTAGACATTCACTTCCATTAGAGATTTAGAGTTTCTCTATGTTAATGGTTTTCTCTGGGAGACAAAGCTGGGAAGTAAATTTCAGCTTGCCTAGAATTCTGGGTACACGATTGATTCACTTCACATCTCTTATTGATTCCAGTCTCAGTTTCTCTTGTTACTAACTTCAAACCTAAAATCTATCTCAGTGAAGAAGACCCCAGCCTCTGTGGTGGACAGAGTGGGTGTAGGAATTCAGTTTAAGCACTGGGAAGACAATAAGAGGCCTGAGGGAGATAGAGATACAAACCCTAGCTTCACCACACCTGACAGAGGCTCTCTCGTGGGCTATAGCTTAGACTCTGTGCACTCTGTTGATCAGGCTGGCTTCTGAGTCTTGTCACAGCCAGTCTTTGCCAAAATCCTGCTAAGTCACCCACTCCTCCTTGATATTTGATCAAATTCCTCATCCCTCAGTGTTGATGTATAAGTCCTTGGCTTGCCTTTAGTAAGACATCTGTTAGTCAGTTTAGCAAGAATCTTAAATGTTTGTTGTATCCTTTCAGTAATTTTCCATCCACTGATACCCTTACTCTGGTGTCTTTGCTGTAGTTGGAGTTGAGTACAGTTAACCTCTCCTATTGTGAAAATCATGACCTCTAATGCAATAATCTTGAATAGTCTTTACTGGTTTAAGTGTCAGCATAATTTTCCCATAATACTTCCAACTACAGCTCTGACTTATATCCTCTTCCCTTGTAAGATGTGGAAAGATAATAGTCCATGGATATGGTGGGCTGGAGAGAATGTTTGTGGGAATTGGGGCTCCCAAGATGACCCAAAGGCACCAGAGCCCATTAAGAGGTCATGGAGATCATAAGTGTTCTGCATTTATTCCTCTGAGACTTGGTAGTAAGGATGGCAACTAGCAAAGCCTAAGAAAGTCTTATTATTACTAATTCATTAAGCCTTACATATCATTCAGAACCTAAGAAAAGCTGATAATTTATTCAGGATAATGCATCCTTCCTATACCTTTTACCATATATATTTCTTTTAGTGGAGTCAAAAGAATTAGGTCTCAGATCTAAAAAGGGCCACAAACTCTCCTCATTCTAACCTGCTCTGGTGAAATTCTCTGACAGGGCTTGTAAAGCATGTAGTCTCAGAGCTGGCTGGAGGTTAGTTTATAGTCTTCACTTTTTTTTTTTTTTTTTAACTTTAGAGGTAACTCCATCCCAGGTTTACAATCTGGCCTCTCCTATCAGTGTAAATTCCATCCAGCACTGTGGGACTTTTCGGTTTATTCAAGAAGCACTAGCTAGGGCTGGGGATTTAGCTCAGTGGTTCTGCCTCCTGCCTCGAAAGCACAAGGTCCTGAGTTCGATCCCTGGTACTAAAAGCGCTAGTTAGATGCCAAACCACGAGCAACATGGTACCTTTGGCACAGACTTTTCAGCCTGTGCAGCAAGTTCCTGATCATGTAAATAGAGTGGCTCAGCCTTTATCACTTGAAAGGAATGGAAGAGGCAGAAGCAGGGACCCGCCTGTCACTCTGTCAGAGTTGCAAAGGTGCTTGGGACTCACCTTTGCATTGTAAGGATATGAGTGTCTCACGCTTCTTATAAATGCAGCTCGATCCAGCTTCTCTGTGACTGATACCTTTGGGACATGAGGTGGATACTGTTTTTGGGAGCCCTTATTGGGTCAGGCATCTGCAGCCAACAAACATTTCGTGGGTAAGTTCCTTTTGGACCTATTGATACATTTGGTTGTTTCAACAATTTGGGAGGCAAATAGAATTGAAAAGGAATGGCTGGCTGTACCTGAGGTCGTAGGTCATTGGACGAAGAGGACCTGAGCTTTTGTCCCATCTTTGCCCTTGTGCCATCCTGAACAAGTTACTTCTCTCTGAGACCTGAGTTTGTTGGTGAAATTGGGATTACTGGTCCTCACAGTCCCTCCTCAGCTCCCTCCTAATCTCTTGTTAATTCTTTTTCTTCCTCATTCTTATTTGTAAGGTCAGTTCCAATCATCTCCTACTTTCTTACTCCTACATTATTAATTACTAAGAAAGACCAGACGTGGTTTGCTTTTGTTTTTGTTCCTTTGGGGATCGAACTTGGGTCCTTGCGCTTGCAAGGCAGGCGGCAGAACCACTGAGCTAAATCCCTAGCCCTTATTTTTAATTTCTGCCATGCTTAAAGGGAAAAACCTGGCGCTTATGCTTTTTGGCTTCACCTCTCTGTTAGCGGTGAAGGCCGTGTAGACTCAGTGCTTTCTCCTCAACTTCTCCAAGCTTTAATAGGTCTTGCCTAATTACAGCTCTGAAAATTGACACACGGACACACACTTGTGCTGTGTGTGCAAATGTGTGTGTATGCTACACAACTCACTCCTTACAGAATGCTCTGAGGTTTGCAAGGGAGAAGAGATTTGGGAGACAGGAGAGATGAAAGGACATGCCATGGTACCCTGCTAGAAGATTGGGTGATAATAACTCATTACTGCAGAATGCTTTGCCATTTGCAAAGAGCTCTTATGTACATTATCGTTTGGATCATGCAACTCTGCCAGGCAGGGGTGTTATTTTCCTCAATTTAAACATGAAAAAGCAGCCTTAGAAAGGTTAAGGACCCCCACCCCCACCCCCAGGCCACTTAGCTGGTAAGCAGGGGAGTTGAAACTCTGAATGCAAAAACCCATACCTTTTTCCTAGGACAAGTTAGTCTTCAAATAGAATCCTTTATGCATTCCTGCATCTATTAGCTTACTCTCTATTATACTATCTAGTTAGAGACAATTTTGGGGTTGTTTATTGAGGTAATTACTTGTGTGAGATTGAGTAATTTTTATGGTGATGACTTGTTCATACCTGTGTTTCTACTGCCAAATAGCTCGGAGGGGTTAGGCATAGCAGGTGGCTGGGCAGGGAGATTTTTCCAAGGCAGCTCAGCAGTAGGTGTGTCGCAACTACATTTGCTGCTATGTGGGCTAACACATGGAGCTGTCAGGCTTCCACTACAGCTATTCATGTGGCTGCAAAATCTCTATTTCTCAGGATACAGAACTCTCTTCCAGTGCAGTGGGCACTGGGCTGAGACAGCTGGCCCGGGCCCTAGAGCACTCACTAGAGCCAGAGTTTTGCACAGAAAGGGCTGCGTGCCTGAGCTGATTGCAAGTGGGTTTAACCAACAGTGTCATCCTCACCCCTAAATCTGTTCTCACTCCATAGAAGGGAACCCAGAAAAGGTAGGGAATCATTTGCATGGTTGTGAAGCCAGGACAGAGATTGGCAGTCGGAGCGGAGAATGACAGTTTCTCCCCTTTACTCCTTCCACTTGGCTCCCTTGCCTCCCCTCTCCTCCTTTCCCCTTTGTCTGCTGGTATTTTCTGCCCTGGTTTTCAGAGATTTTAGGGATGAAACAATGGCCAGGAAGCCTGGAGTGCTAGGCAGGCAGAGAACAGGACGTGGTTAGTGGTTGTGGAACTGGTTGTAGTGTCAGCGATAGCTGGCAGGCATCTACGAGTTCTGGGAAGCCATCTCTGAATATCATTCACTGTGCTTGCTAAGCCTGGCTGGGGGAGCAGGTGAGAGAGGCACAAAAGAATGGGACATTTGAACATTGGCTTAGCAATGGGGGAGGCAGTTTCTGACTGTCCAGGATACAGGACAAGTGTGAAGGTGGCAACCATGGCTGGCAGCAACTGGATAGCACTGGGTATTGAAGAGGACCAGAAGAGCTATCAGAATACTTGTTGTGTAGGCAAGAGAGGTAGACACAGCCACCTGTAAATCCCTGTAAGTCCTCCTCTCAGGTAGTCTTCCATGTTCCGAAAGCGCTCAGGCCAAGATGTTTGAGTGCATATCTGGACAGTGACCTGGGTAGGGCATTTTCCAAATAGAGACAAGGACAGTGAGGGCAAGAGAAAGACTGCCTTATGCATGGCACCTCACTTACGTCCTCTGCGCCTTCAGGTACTGATGTGCAGGTGTTCATAAGAATGTTGGACACTATCAGTGCTGCTGATTTTTAGCACTATTTGAAGATCGTACCAAATTTGCCTCCTCTGGTAAGGGGAATCTTCGTGGGTGATACGAGCTGGTCCTGAAGAGTGGGTGGGAGATTGCCAGGCAGTTAAGGAAAAGGGCTGGGATTGCAGGCAGACATAACAGTGCATGCAAAGGCATACCAAGGAAAGTATATGGTGCATTTGGGGTTTCAGTGGAGCTGGAGCTAAGGGGCATGGAAGAGAAAGGTGGAGGAGAGTGCAATGGAAGAGGTTCCATTTGGCACCAGCCCCGCTGCCCTGCCTCCTGCACACTACAGAAATTTCTTTAACCTCTGTAGCCTGTCTATTGTGAGCATGATGAAAGGGGCTGTGTACTTAATCACCATTAGGCCAATCCGAGCCACTGTGTTCTCCTGTTGTGAACAGTGCCCAGGAGTATGGAAGCCACCACTTTGGAAAAAGTATGATGCGCTTTATCATGGATGAATGTACAATAAAATTTTCACAGTCCAAAGAGCTTCTTGTTTTGATGTCCCTCTTTTTTTTTTTTTTCTTACTGTTCCTCCTCTGTCTCCTTCTTGGTGATTTCTCTAGCCAGTGCTGTTTTACAAATGCCTGATTTTGCCACTAGAGATATGCACACCAAAGAAATGCCACTAGAGATATGTACTAGGCTCTTCCTAGAAACCCATTTTAAGACACCCCTTTTACTGGAGTGTTTGGGGGTAGGTTGTGACAGAGCATAAGTTTGGCAGACTGGTCCTGGTCCTCAAGCAGGAGTGAGGATTTTCCTTCTGTTTAAAACCCATCTTTCCCCACCCCCTCAAGGCTTCTTGCCTGTATCGGGGAAATGGTAGTTTGATTCTCCATCTTCCCAGGGCTGCTGTCCACCTCTTAGCAGCTGGTTGGGCTCTGTATTAGTTCATATTCTGTTGTTATAACAAAATACCTGAGGGGGGATAATGTATAAAGAAAACAGGTTTAGTTAGCTTAGTGTTGGAGGCTGAAAGTTCAGGACTGGGTGGGTAGTCTTACATGTTCAGCCTCTTGTGAGGCCCTCCTGCCTGCACTACAACATGGCAAATGGCATCACAGTTGGAGCATATTCACAAGAGAGACAGCACATGACAAGACAGGAAGCTAGAGAGATTCAGGGGCTAGGCTCACTCTTTTTATAATAATCCATTCTTGGGAACTAAGGCTGAGAGATCAACATGAATCATTTTTCAGGGCCCACTGGATCCCACCTCTTAAAGCTCCTTCCACCCCCAACATCACTACATGGGGAGCCAGGCTTCAGCACATGTGCCCCTGGGGCACACACACAAACCATATCCAAACCATAGAAATTCAGACTGAGACCTGCCCAGTCAGAACTTCTGCACCAGGACCCCAGCTCTTGGGGGTGCAGTTAGTTCGTTGCCAACCTCCAGGACCCTATGGGACCAACTGGGTGGGGGAAAGCAAGCCTCCCGAATTGGGATCTTCTCTAGACCAGCCACACAATCATGGCAGGGACCACTCTGCAGTAGACCTTATCTTCCTGGGGCTGGCCCAGAGCCCACAGAACCTTCTAGAACCAAGTGAAACCCTGAGAATCCATCTGGAGTGAACCAGTTTTCTGATAAGGAGCTGCCACGTGAGGTTGCACATTTAGCTCCCTGTGACAGAACCATTTTCTCTGTCAACAAGTCCTTCAGCCCACAGCCCTCTCTAGCAGCTCTTCCTGCATTCACTCATGTCAAAGGGATGACGCATGTGACAGCATTGAGTGCGGATTCATTTGGGCCGTCACCTAGCAACAGACTAATGGCTCCCCTGGCTCCCTGAGCGGGCTGAGAGCACAAAGCACGCTTTTCAGGCTTGGCCTTTTCCCACCCACACAGGACTTCAGGCCTTCTTCCCCTGCTGCTTCGGAAGCTAAATAATGTATACGAAGCAAGTGCAGGACAAATAATGAGGGGGGCTGCGACTGGCAGGCCCCTTCTGGGCCCTCTCAGAGGCTGCGGGCAGCAGTGAATCCCAAGTTCAGCCTCACACCTGGGGCCCTATTTGTTTCCATGGTAATGCACATGTGTATGGGGCACTGGGGCTAGATGGGTAGGCTAGCACCCAGCCTCTCCCCTCTTCTCTAAGAGGACAGCAGCTGGCCTTCCCTGGATTGGGGGTTGCTCCCTTTTCCAGCTCTTCCTGGTGTGGAGGTCCTGCCAGGAGTTCAGCCCTTGCCCCTGACAGTGAAGAAATGCTTCTTTGTGTCTTGAGTTAGCTTTGCGTGTAACTCAGGAACATTCCTTTATGTAAAAATATGTATGTTTTTCATTATAAAGTAATATGGCCACATTACAGAAAACAGATACAAGAGAGAAAAAAGTAAGTCATCCATAATCCCACGGCCCGAACTTGAGCACTGTCAGCATTTGGTATATTTCCGTTGTCTGTTTTTCTTTCAATGCATCTGCTTTTTCCATACTTGTAATCATGGCATATATACAGTTTTGTGTCCTGCTTTTTCACTCACTATTTCCCTTAAAGTTATACATAAGCACTTTTTCATACTTGCCACGAAGTCTTATTTTTAATGGCTATACATTATAACCAAAGACTAGACCACCAGGCCCAGTTCTGTCTGGGACAGTGGGTTTGGGGTTTATTTTCCAGCGGAAAGCTCACCATTACCTTCTGCTTTCTCCCCCACTTCTTCTCCAGGGACCAAGTTTTTAGGGTTAATGTCAGAAATGGAGACGAGATCAGCAAACTGACTCAGCTAATGAATTTGGACAATTTTAAGGTACGTGGTTCTTAGTCCTCTTGTTTTCTGACTCTGGTGGGAGAAGACACTTTTATTACAGGTGGTATTATTTTTATTCCTGAGGATTTTCTCTGTACTGTCCTGTATTAGTCAATGTGCCATTTATACAGTTGAGGGTGACAGCAGTTCAGTTCCGGGGCATGGAAGGCCTGAGCAATGGACTCCTTCCTGCTAACTGCCATTGACGTAATATATCTTGAACTCTGGCAGATACAGCTGGCTGGGCAGTTCTGACCACTTGTGATTGTGTATAGACAAATGTCTTCCCTCAGTGGGACTCAGTCCCTCAGGGATCACCCTGGCTTTTGACAGTGGCTCAGAGAATGAGCTATTGTGTGTTTTACCTGAACTGTCCTTTAGCCTGGTTTTATTTCTGTTCCCTTCAGCTCAATTTCTGGAAGTCTCCTTCCTCCTTCAGTCGGCCTGTGGATGTCCTGGTCCCATCTGTCAGTCTGCAGTCAGTCAAATCCTTCTTGAAGACCCAGGGCTTGGAGTACTCAGTGACAATTGATGACCTGCAGGTGGGTAGGCCATACCCACCTTGGACCAAACAGCCAATCCAAAGTGGACCTGAGAGATTTTCTGCTGTCACCCTTTCTCATTTCACAGATGAAGAAACTGAGGCAAATTGAAGTAAAGTCCAGTGACTTGTTAGAGGAACAGCATGTTATAGTAGATAGGGATCTACTAACTACTAGTTAACTACTAGTGCTGTGTCTTGGAAAAGCTTTTACCCTCTTGAGCCTCTGTTTCTTCATCAGTAAAATGGCAGTAGGAATGCCTTTCTTTTCCATGCAGTTTACTAAGAAGATTCTTTAATTAATGTAAAATGTCCAACAGTAGTTGATACATCATAGACATCCCAGTAAGTAATAAATGCCTCTCTTTTTCTTATTTGCAGTTAGGAGGCAAGAAAGGAGGGGTGGGTGGGGGTATTGGAGACCAGTTGTAAGAAGTGCCCTTTGAGAAAGGGAGGATGTCACCAACAGTCCCCAGCAGAGGGAACATCACCATCCATCCCACGACCTGTGCTGAACAGCAGGACGGTGTCTGGCTCACGCTCTCTCCTTCACCGAGGTGGGTTATAGATTAATTGGTGATTTGGCCTGGGAGTTTCCTGATGGCGTGAGCAGCTGTGAGCTTATTAATCATCCTCACATGTCACAGACATCTGCCAGGAACCTTCAAAGTATGAGTGGTTGTAAGAATTTCTTCGTTTCTGAATAGTTTCCCAAGCCATGTATTTCAGAGGTGCTGGATACCAGATGCAGGCTGATGTCTAGAGATTTCATACCATAGAATAACCAAATAGCACATAAGTTTCTTCCAGAGAGTAAGTGGGTTTTGAATGGGGTGGTGTAAATAAATTTGACACAAAGAAGTAAAGTTAGATATATGATACATAGAGATACATGAAAGAAATCTGATTCCTTCTTTTTTTGTCATGAGGGTGTGACAGTTTATTTTTAAAAGTTGTACCACACTGATCATGATGACCAACGTACACATGTTAATGGCTTTTCTCCTTTGCAGTGTTTTTGTACACTGACTTTTTTTTATTGTTATTGATACAATTTGATATACATAATGAACACATTCATCATAGGGAATTTTTTTGGGGGGGTACCGGGGATCGAACTCAGGTCCTTGTGCTTGCGCAGCAGGCGGTGAAACCACTGAGCTAAATCCCTGGCCCCATCATAGGGAATTTGTACCTGAACATGATATATCTTGATTCTTCTTTCTTTCCCATTCCCCTCCCCTACCTTCATCCCCCTTTCCCCTCCTTATTTACAAAACTTTATTTCCATTTTATTCTTCTTTTCTCATTTTCACTGACATGGTTCAGTAGAACCAAGAATTTAGGAGATTAAAGATCTTAGAAGAAATGAACACCAATAATTCTGTTGTTCTACCATTTAAACTACTTCTAAATCAGGGGCATCATGTAGCTATGCAGAACAAACGTTCTTTTAGAAGTAGACAGCTTGAGCTTACCATTTCTTGCACTTTAATCTTTAGTTTGTATAATTTAAGCTATCTGACCCTGCTGAGTCATGGACATTTGTGTTGCTTTTCACACTGAAGGTGCCACCATCTTGGTCCACCCATGTACCAAGACATGGCAGGAAAACCGTGAACCTGCATTTCCAGTGGATCACTTCATCATGTTGCTGTGTTTTCTTTTAGGACCTTTTAGATATTGAAGATGAAGAAATGCAACTCAATGAAGGGCAAGAGCGGAGCGATAATAACTTCAACTATGGGGCATACCATTCTCTGGAAGCTGTAAGTGTTTCAGAGCAGATTTAAGGCCAAGGTCCTTTGTCTCCTGGATTTTGTAGCCTTGCTCCTTACTTCCAGGAGGTATTCATCTTCAGCGTAATATCACTTCACGGAGGAGCTAGAGTGTAACACTATAATTCCTTTCCATTTCTTGAATTAATTCCTATCTGCACCTAAGAGCATATTGAAAAACAACCTGGACACCTCCCCCAACACACATATATTTTCTTTTTTTAATGCTTTTTTTCTTAAGCAACCACTTAAAGAAAACCATGAAATAATTGCAATCATTTCTAGTACTTATAACTCAACCTTCTTCTCCCCCACTATAATCCCTCACTGAGAATAAAATGTTATTGGTGCCAGGCAAGTAGACAAGTGGTTATTTCCAAGGTTAACCAACTATTTCCACTCATTCGTCATGACTTCTTACAATGTATATTTGTTCCATAATGCATTTTTTGATGCTGTGTTTAGTTAGAAACCACTTTATATAGATGACTGCCTTTTAAGATAAGCCAAACTTTCTAATGAAAACTTGGAACAAAATAATTTCATATAATATTGGAACTTGAGAAATCAAGAGGGACTATAGGACGGAACTGCATCATGAGTAGTATAATTCTCTTATGATCCCCAGGATCTCCCTCATTCTACTAGCTCAGGTCAACTCTGTAAGCTTGATTTTATTCTATATTGATTGCAATTTTCCTTGTGTGTATAGCTGCTTCTTGCAATCTTAAGGATTAAACAAATCCAAATCGGTATTCTCCCTCATGTACCTTTGTACATGTCATTATTTACGTGCAAACATAATGTTCCTGGCATGCTTTTCATGAGACATATGTTTTTTTTCTAGATGAGGAATTATTTTCAAAGGCTGACCATCTATCTTTTCCATGATTGTTAGTAGCTTTGTTTATTGTATACACTTTCAACTGCACTGCCCCTTGATCCTTCTTGTGACCAATGTCATACATCTGGAAAACAGCTGAATAAAGTTAGGAGTTCATTCTCAGGTCACGGACAAAAGCAAAGCCTCAGGACCCACACGGGGATCGAACCCATGACATTAGCCACATTATCACGAGGCCCTCCCCAGCTGAGCTAATCAGTTGCAAATGTCACCCAAGGACCCAGAGGGCCATCCCCTCAACCTGCTGGCTATCCTAGCCTCTCTCTCATCCACTCAGCTCTGGTGTCTCTGGCTTATGTCCCTTTGCGATTTAGTTTCCATCTATAAGGAAGCTAGCTCTCTTGTTCACTGGGAGGCCCTTTGCCATAGATTGGTGTACCATCTCCCTCCTAACTTCTCATTTTCCATTCTTGGAAGAGCTCATATTCTACAACCACTTAGAGTCTCTTAGGTCTCTAGTGGAAATGTCATGTGTGTCTCCGCCAGGGTTTCTGATTCCAGATCCTATGTGTGTATTGTGGTGGTGGCTTGGTGGTGTGAACCTAGACCTGTGTGTGAAGACAGGTGCTTTCACTTTTCCTGGGTGGCTCTTTCCTCACATGACTCTGGGAATTCCCCTGTTTTTCTTCACTCTAAGGTCAGTGGGTAGAGGAGAATTTGTAACCCCTTTCTGTGGCTAAGTGAGCCAATTTCCAGTTCTAGCTTTTTGCCCCAGGATGGGTTCTAAACCCTCAGCACCTGAGGCTTCCTCTCCTGCCCTCTTCCCTATGAGTTAGTCCCCTCTTCATTGCTGGCACCTTTTGTGAGTGAATTACTTTCATTGTACTTTATCTGGCTTGCCCATGTATTTGGGGGTGGCTTCTTGCCTTTCAGTCTGCCACATTGACTGCCAGTCTATAAATTGTAAGCTTGATTTTATCCCATATTGATTGCAATTTTCCTTCTGTGTATAGCTTCTTCTTCCAATCTTAAGGATTAAACAAATGTATTTTTAACCTTCTTTTGGTCTTCAAATGATTAGAGGAACTAAAATGGATAAACTATTTAAATTAGTCTTCTCCCACTCCCAAAGGAATTGGGAATAGACTTAGTCACTATTTACAACTCCTCATCATTTGTTCTGCTAAAGCTTTTAGAAAAATCATCTTCAAAGTGGGGTGCCTGTAACAGAAGATTGCCCACTGGGATGGAGGAAACTGTTACACCCTCTATTTATACTTACATCTTATACAACCATTTCTATGTCTTTTTTTGTTTCACAATGTTCATAACATATTTGTATGGTAGTATATATAGGTACTTGGTAAATGTTCAGCTCTTTCTTGCTGATGTAGAAGGTGACCCCAAAGAGCCTTGGCTAAAGGGGGCTGTTCTGACTGTCCAGCTCAGAGTGGTACAAAGGACAATATCTGTGTCGGTCTTTCTACTCAAGCTGAGTGGATTATCATTTTGCGGACCAATGAAGTGTGTTATTCTGTAGAAAACTGAAAAGTTAGGCTCTTCAGCCAGTTTTTTGTAATAATCACCCCATAATATGGTCAACTCCGCGATTAGGGGCCCAGAAAAAAATCATGAAGACCAATAAGGTAAAGTTCAGATACCCACCCCGAGCTGAACAAATTTTAAAAATGCCCATGGGCTTACTGTTTCATATTTCAGATTTACCATGAGATGGACAGCATTGCCACCGATTTTCCTAAACTGGCAAGTAGAGTGAAGATTGGACAGACGTTTGAAAAGCGGCCGATGTATGTACTGAAGGTGAGGCCTTGTAGTTCCTTGTGTTCAGGATCCAGCCTCAGATCACCGAGGGAGGCACCTGTTTAGATTCTGTGACTTCAGGGAGGAGCGTGAATTTGGGAGGCATCTTCTGTGGGCTCAAATTTGATCTGACGAGAGTTACCTACTTTTATGTAATGTAAGGCTGCCAAAAGAGCAAACCTATTTCCTGTTTTGATGGAAGGAGGGATCAGAGGATAGGCAGTTAGAATGCTAGAATTCTAGCTGGGGGTGAGATGGGAGGCTGTGGTCCTGACTACATTCCCACCGTCTGTTAGTGGCAAGGGAAGTTGGGATAGGCCTACCAACCAGTCTATTCTGTTTTTAGGGCTACTTTCTGGCAAAGCAACGTAGGAAGCTAATTTCAGGGTTGATAAGTATTTTATTCTTTTTTAAAAATATTGATTTTATTGGTACATTTTAGATATACATAACGATAACATTCAGATGACGTGTTAAGCCCAGCTCTGATCCTGGGCTACACAAAGCTTAATTTCCAGATATTTCTAACAGATTCAGGTCTGTATTGGCAAAAGAGATAGAGAACTATAACAATGACATAAATTACATAAATAATCCAGCTGAGTGAATAAAAAAAATTTGGGCATATAAACCATGGAACAATTGATTGAGCTAAAAATTTGCCAAATCCTTAGCTTCATATAAACACTGAAGAACCCCGGTTTACAGCAAATTACCAGCAGGAGGGGAGACCTGCCACTGAGCTGGTTGCTTTAAAATAATTACACTTAGATTATTTGCCCATCTGATGGAGACCCTGGCTTCATTAGCACCAAGCTCTGACCCAAGGGGCCCCAACACTATGCCAAGGCTGGAGTTAGAATTCATTACTGCCATTTACAAAGAACTATAGTCAAGCCCTCTTCCTCCTAATTTAAAACCAAATTCATTTATTGCATCAGCAAAACAGCCTGGTTCATGCACCTCGAGTCTGTCTCTATTGGGATACCATTTGAGGTCTTTCAAGAGACATACTATTATCTCTAATCGCAGCAGCATTCTAATCCACAATAACAATTGTTTCTCCTTCCCATTTGCTCCCAATGCTGGAGAGGTTCAGGCTGCCTGGAGCTGCAGCCAACCAATTAAGTTCCCTGGTCACAGATAAGCCTGATAAATAGATGGTGCCCTCAGGAACATTTGGTCTCTGAATTATCCTAAATGAATTAAATGAATAGGAGTGAGCTGGGGAGAGGAGAGGTGAGCAGAGATGCGGGCAGGTGGGTCATTTTCTGGCCTCCTTTCTTTCTGTAGTTCAGCATGGGAGGAGGCAAACGGAGGCCGGCCATTTGGCTGAACGCAGGCATTCATTCCCGAGAGTGGATCTCGCAAGCCACTGCCATCTGGACAGCAAGGAAGGTCATGTCGCCCGGTATTAGCCAAGGATTCTGGTGGGCCTAGGGGGGCCCTGAAGCGTTCCATGTGGCTGGACCCAGGGGACAAAGTTGAAAGGCACTCTTTACAGACCCAGGAGGCTGGGGTCTTTTTGGGTCAGAGAAGTAAATGGTCAAAGCCTCTCAGCCCGTCTACTGTGGCTGAGTGACAGAGTGGCAGTGAGCAAGCTCATGAGCCACAGAGGTGGACCTAAGACACTCACCCATAATGGATCTCTCAAAGGGGGAGAGCAACACTAGCACCACGCTCAAGTCAGCTTTCCCTTCAGCCCCTTCCGATCCCTGCCAGGCCTCCAGCAAGCTCAGAGCCTTTGAAAAAGTCCATTTTAAACTTATATTGAAAGGGAGGGGTGTTTTAAGTCTGCATTAAAGCCTGGGAGCCCCTTCACTGAGGCTTAAGTTCCTACAAATATGTGACTCCCCACTGCTGGAAGGAATGAACAAAGCATGTGCCACAGGACTCACTGCAGATACTGTCATGAAGCTGTGTACCCAGGGTTTGAGGGACTCAGAGGGCTCTGCAGAGAGCCATGCCCATGGGGACACCAGGAGATGTCAAGGGTGGATGCTATTCTAGGAGTTGCCATTCTTCGTGGGTGCGGGGCATCTCTGGGACTTAGACCTAGTGACCCAGGCTGGTGTGGTATAGCTGACAAGCACCTTGTCTCTGCTTAGATTGTATCTGAGTATGGGAAAGACCCAGCTGTAACCTCTATCTTGAAGAAAGTGGATATTTTCTTGTTGCCTGTGGCCAATCCTGATGGATATGTGTACACGCAAACCAAAGTGAGTAATCCTGAACGGGCTGGCTTGGTGTGCACCTGTCTTATTGAACTTTTTTCCTTTGCTGGTGCCTTTAGAGAGAACTTCCACCAATATGTATATTATGAGTTTCCTTGGGATTTCATTTTCTAGTCATTTTCAGAGCTGAGAATCAGCAGGGATTTTTTTTTTTTTCTGAAGAGAATAGTCTCAGGAACTCCCTATTATGGGTCTTGAACGATTATCATCATTTTACCAATCTTATTCATTTTTTCTCTCCCACACAATCCTTTCTTGATGTATTTTAAAGCAAATCTCAGAAATCATGATATTTCACCCAAAACTACTACCTTAGCATGCACCTCCAGCTGATGATAATACTGATAAAAACTTCAAATCCACTACACTTCTGTCACCTTTGAAAAATTAATGGAAGTTCTTTAATATCATCTAACACCCTCAATTATCTTTAAAATGTCTCTAAGGAGTCAATTTGTTGAAGTCTGGATCTAACAAGGTCTGTGCACTGCATCTGGCTGCTGGGTCTCAGCAGTCTTTTATTTTACAACAGCACCCCCCACACATCCTTTTAAACTGTCATTCATTTGTTGGAGAAACCAAGTAATTTCCTGTGTAATGTCTCACATTCTGAATTTGGCTGATGGCTTCTTGGTTGTGCCATTTAATTTGCTCTTTTATTCCCCAGGCTGGAGCGTGACTGGATTCAGGTGGATTTTTAAAAGCTGGAATAAAATATGTGCGGTGCACTTCAAGTGCATCAGTGATCATCAAGGCATGATGGCCATTGGTCCCACTGCTACCAAAGCCAATAATTATTCAGTGCATTCAGTTGGGATCAGCCTAGTTCAGTGATGGTGAACCTTTTCAATACCAAGTGCCCAAACTGCAACCCCAGACCCACTTATTTATTGCAAAATGCCAACACTGCAATTAAACCTGAATACTGAGGTTTTAATTTAGAAAAAAAAACCCTGCCATCCAGTGCTTAGCTACTGAGCTGCCTTGGTTTATGTGGTAACAAGGAGGGCTCTCTCTGCCTGCTGTGGCGTGCATGCCATAGATTCACCACCACTGGCTTATTTCTTACATATAAAGTTCTCAAGTGGCATTTTAGAGGGGTCCCTCTCTTAAAGCCAGGGGAGTGAACTCTTCTTTCTCTGAGGGATGAAAGCAAATGCCCCAGGCAGGCCCACAAGCAGCTTGTCTCATCTCTTATGCTTGTCTCCATTTTAGCACCCAGAAAAATCTTTCACTGCTCCTGGGCCCTGACTCACCTCTAGGTATTTTATGACTTGTTTCAGAACCGGTTATGGAGGAAGACACGGTCCCTGAATCCTGGAAGCCACTGCATTGGCACTGATCCAAACAGAAACTGGAATGTGAGTTTTGCAGGTAGGTGGGGAGACAATTTCAGATTCTGCTGCTCTTGGTTAGCCTGTCCTCTTGTGCCCTGAGGTGGTAGGGGGGAGTGAGTTTCTACTGTTTTCATTGCTCTACTCACTGAGAGAATTAGGGGCATCACTTAGGCTATGTCAATTTGTTCTGTTTTTTGTTTTAGAAAATTGTTTAAATTGTAATTTTGAACAAGAATAACTCAATAATTCCTGTCCACCTGAAAGAATGGTAGGACAGAGTATCATTGCATTATGATTATAACTATGTTCATATTTTGTTTAATACATATTTATTTATTTATAGTGGTGCTGAAGATCAAATCCAGGCCCTTGTGCATCCTTTGTCCCAGTCCGTATGCTAATATTTTAAAACCACTCTCATCTTAGAAGTATGAACCCCAGGGCCTTCCTTATCACTGCCCATGGCAGCTTTGTTGGGCAAATTGTGGGTGGGCAGAAGGGGCTCCTGTGGCAACTCAAAAAAGACCAATTAGCACTGTTACTCTAATAGGTAAGAGCAATAAAACCTTGATTATATGTTGTGAAAAGTAAATTCCAGTAGTTATTTTTCCATATGCAAGTATGAGTGCCAGCAGTTTAATGTCATGGAGAAAGAATGGAAATTAGGTGGCCAGGGTTCTGAGTTCCAACTATTTAAAAATCCTCCCCCACAAAAGTGCCAGTTGTGTGCCAAGTACTTTCCCATGTACCTTATTCTTTTTCCCTAGTGAGTAATTATTATTATCTGAAATGAGACAAGACCCTCTAAGGTTGTATGGCTGATAAGAACTAGGATCTAAACTCACTTTCTAATTCTAAATCAGAATCCAACCTCTTTCACTATTCCACAGCTGCACCGATGTTTTGTTGTTAGTGGATTTTTCTTACTTGTATAAAAACACCACAAAATAATGGTTGTGGGAAAGGAGCTGACACAAACATGGGGACTGAGGGCATCAAAGTTAAGGCAGATAGTTCCATAATTGAAGTGATTACACACACACACACCAGATACCTTAGGCAGCTGTATTGTGAAATAAGACAGAAGGCCATATTTCTAAATACCTGTCAGACAATCAAGAGATGTTAGCCACAACAATAGATTATTTTTGGCAGCAGCTGGCTGTTAAGATCTGAACCCAGAGAATAAGTTGACACCAGAATAAATCGAGTCGTTTTCATTATTTATTGGTATTCATATTAATTATCTAAAATACTTGTTAATTACAACTCATTTTCAAGCACGATATTAATTATTTATGACAGCCACTACTGACATAATATAAGGTCAGCTCTACCCACTTAAAGAAGTCCCAACAAGCTGGATGTGGTGGTGCAGCACACCTCTAATCCCAGCATTGAGTGAGGCTGAGGCAAGAGGACTGCAAGTTCAAATCCTGCCTGGACAACTTATTGAGACCCTATCTCAAAATAAAAATAAAAAGTGCTGGGGAAACAGCTCAGTGGTAGAGCATCCCTGGGTTTGATCTCTTGTATGGCAAAAAAAGAAAAACAAAAATCATAATAATTTCCCTTCCTAGTTGTGGCAGATCCAACACCCCCCCCCCCGTCTCTGTTCCCTTCCTAACAGTCTGCACATACCATGGACAGGTTTTTAGGGATATCTGGAAATAGCCTGCCAATTGCCAATACCTCCAGCCCCTCCTCAGGGTTAACTGCCCTCAATTCCGTCATCTTGGCCTGTGGGTTACTGTTTCTGGTTGGACTGTCCCCAACAGGAAAAGGAACCAGTGATAACCCTTGCTCTGAAGTGTACCATGGCTCGCGTGCCAATTCTGAAGTAGAGGTGAAATCGGTAGTAGATTTCATTGAAAAACATGGGAATTTCAAGAGCTTCATTGACCTGCATAGCTACTCACAGTTGCTGATGTATCCCTATGGGTACACAGTCAAGAAGGCCCCAGATGGCAAGGAGCTGGTGAGTGACAGCTGACTTCCCCCCAGTTCTAGGTTGGCTTGACTTCCGGATGCTGCCAGGGTGTCAATCTACACCGTTAGAGGGAAAATCCAGGAGCACAAGTGGGTCTCATCAAAGGGCCAGAATTCTCTCCCTGCCCTTTGGGATGGGATGTGCCAGCAGACATACTGGGGACTGGAGGAGGACAGGGCTTCTTACTTCTAGGCCAACTGTGACATTGCCTTGCCTTCTCACTAGTTTTTCCTAGTGGAGCGTGTCATAGCCCCACTACTCACCAAAGACCGAGGTTGGCACTGTGGTGTGCAAGGGGGAGGTACTCTCATTCTGGCTAAGGAAGAGGTGAAGGATGCTGTGACCCACAGCCTAGGGTGCTCTGTGTCATGTTCTGTGATCCACCCCCGAATGGAGGGGAACTTAGAGGTGGACTAGGAGGAGTGGGATTGGCATTTGCTGGTGACTGCAGGCCACCACTTCTGTGGAGGTCTGCTGAAGGGCACTGCTCTGCCCAGCCCATAGCCAGGCTACAAAACTTCTTGCCCTCTTTGTCTATAGCTGCCCTGACAGCACCCCCAGCCCCTCAAGGGTTTTTTCAGGAACACACTTGGTCTTCCCTCCTGGTCCTAAGTAGAGAGTCCTCTTCCTGGGGATACAGGAAGATGGGGGCTTACTATGTTCCTAACGGGTTGGTGAGCAGTGCACCAGCCCGTTGGAGAGCTTCAAAGCAGCTCTTCCAATTTGAGTGTGTGTCACACCTGCTTTCAGAGTGCTTATCACTCTCTTCTTACCCAAAGTGGGCATAGGAACAGGGGATGGGGCAGGAGAAGTGCTGGAGGACCTAGTCTGCCTTTATCAGGCCTCAGCTCTGTTTGGTGGGGAGGAAGAAGAGACCAGCAGGGGAAAGTGGAGGTGGGGCCACGATGCTCCCCGGCCCCCAGTGCAGGAGAGCTGAGGAATTCCAGCCTCCAGGATCCATTCCTCTCACTCTGTTGTTTCCTTTCCCAGGATGAGGTGGCAAAACGTGCAGCCAAAGCCCTGGCTTCCCTGTCAGGTACAGAATACGAAGTGGGCCCGACATGCACCACCGTCTGTGAGTACCCACTGAGTGAGCTAGTATTTAGAAGGTGCCTTGGAATGGAGTGGGGGGAGAGCTGCAAGTCAGAGTTCCAAAGTTGTCACCTGATTGTTCATGATAGACCGAATATATGGCAAGCCTGTGGGACAGAAGCTGTTGCAGTCTCTTTGCCTCTCGTGCTATTTGTCACTTGCCTTCGATGAGTTAGGTTCTGTCCGCAGGATAGAATCTCCATTCCTCACCTTACATAAAGGATCCTGACATAGTTTACCAAAACTTCCTCAAGCCCGTTATTCCATTTTCAAAGGCATACCACCTTGGCTTTGGCAAATGGATGGCAGTGCTTGTGGTGTGGGAGAGACTCCCTCACCTTCCTGTCAGAAATGAACAAGGGTTAGGGGTCCTCCCAGCAATGGTTAGTATCTAGCAAAACACAAAAAACAAAAAAATCACAAACCCCAGCACTCTGGGAGGCTGAGATGGGAGGAATGCAAGTTCAAATGCACTTGGGTGACTCAGCAACTTAGGGAGAACCTGTCTCAAAAAAACCACCCCAAAATAAAAAAACGAACAGCAACAGAAACTACTGAGATCCAAATCTGAACCTGGTCTTAAGGTTCACCACCCATAACCTCACTTTGAAGAAATCCCTTTTATGTGGTTTCTCAATGAAATATTTCATCTGAGCAATGCACTCAATTCCTACCAAGAATCTGCCAGTTCTCTTATTCTGAGTCTGTCTTCTGATTTTCCGTTGGTAAAAATACCGTATTCCAAGTATGAACCTGAGAAGCCCAGCTCTAGCCCTGTAGGCAGTGTTCCTCTCAGCCTCGCACAGTGCCTTTTCTGTACACACTGTTGTGTCTTGACCACCGGGCCACCTCAGAGTTCCTGCAGGCGGCTGGTGTTTCTTTTCTCCTCAGCCCTGGACTTCACTACTGATTCTGTCTCCCCAGCTTTCCTGTCAGACCTCCTCTTCTGGGGAAATCTCCAGTCCGCCTCCTGGGTGCTCCTCTGCGCTCTGATCTCGCCACCCTTGTCTCTGTTTCATCCGCCACTGAGCTGCATAAAGCAGTTAGCATGATGCTGGTATTTGAGTTGCTAATTGCAGCAACAATCCATTAATTATTCATGGTTTATTGCTATTAGTGTTATTAAATGGGAACTCTTCAGAGGACACATCTGGAGACTTTCTCCACCCTCTGCCTAATTAGTCAGAACCCAGCCAGAGACCAAAGAGAGAGGAGGCTTGCTAGGAGCCTGTAATGCATCTTCCTGAAGAGCTTCGTGGGTCACCATGGTTCTGGCTTTTGGGTCAAACACCAGTTTAAATAATGGCCTTTTCCTCTCACATCAAGCACACTCTTTTGCCCAGCATGAGCTGTGCCCAGACCAAGGGATCCTCACCAGATGCCTCCAGCAGAGGAGGGAAGGCTCTCTTGAGTGCGTCCAGAAGCTGTGACATTTCCTACCTCTTTTAAGAGCCTGTCTTCTGTCCTTGCTTTCCAAAACAGCAATCAAATTTTGTATAATGGCACTCTATCTGACCCCAGGAGTCTGGGATGTGCCATGTAAATAGATAGTATTTCTCTTTTCGAGTACCAGACCTTTTCTTAGATTAACCATGTAGATGAAAATAATTCTAAGATGGACCCTGCAATTTCCTGCTTCCTAAACACAGCATGTGGAAAAGATTTGAGTCCCTTTCTTTGTGACTGAGTGGCTTTCTGGACGTTACTATGTCCTGAAGACCTATTATTGTACTGTTGGACCCCTCTGCTAAACAGCCCCAGCCTATTTTGCTTCTCCTCCTGTTTCTGCTTTTTATAGGTTTTATGTGGCCTTCTTCAGTCCTCTGTTAGGAGTAACTTGTACTGTTTTCAGGCCGGCTACCTCTAGCAACCCTTTCCTCTTCTCTTCATTGATTCTGGTTGGCTACACGCTTGGAAATAAGTTCTTTGAGCTCATCTGACTGGTGGCTAAATCATGAATTTTTTTTTTCTTTTTTGGTACCGGGGATCGAACTCAGGACCTTGCACTTGCGAGGCAGGTGGCAGAACCACTGAGCTAAATCCCCGCCCCTAAATCATGAATATTAAAGATATTCATTACAGTATTATTTACCATCACAGAAGATTGGTGAACATCTAAAATGTCCACCAGAGGGGCTGGGGATTTAGCTCAGTGGTTCCACCACCTGCCTCGCAAGTGCAAGGTCCCGAGTTCGATCCCGGTCCCCCCCCCAAAAAAAATGTCCACCAGGAGAGTGATAAGAGCATACTTGGTGCATTTGGAGAAATACTACATGGCTTTTCAGTGAATGTGGTGCATCTATATATGCTAATAGGGGATGGATAGTCTTCAATTGTTAACTGAAAGACACAATATGTAAAACAGTGTTGGTAGTATGTTCCTATGAGTGTTAAAAGGAAAGAAAAAAAGCAGATGTTGAACAGGGATCTAAATAAAGTGAAGTTCATGAACTCCATCACTCTAACTGCTGAGAGGAAGCCTTTTTGCCTCCTTCCAGAATCTTAAGTGTGTTCAGAAATACCATACTTGAGTTTGCCCTCGTAAAGCACCTCTAGAAACTTCTGGTACCATTGTCTATTCTCACTGAAGCTTTTTCTCAGGGTAGAGAAAGGCTATGGGAATCATACAGAAGAGCCTGTTCCATACTCTCAAGGTGCACGAACTCTCATGAAGCAGCAATAGCTCTAGAAAAATCATAATGCTATCTTGAGAAACAACTCTTGGGAACAGTGGGAAGGCAAAGGTGCTCAAATCTTCACTTAACAGACGCATTAAGACCCAGGATGGACCCCAGGTCCACTGAAAAAAGGCTTAGGCTTTATCATCAGATGGACCTGGGTTAAAACTCCAGCTCTGCCATTTTTTATCTGTTTTTTCCTTAGATAAATTACCCATTTGGAGCCTGGAGCTCCTCATCTGTAATACTTACCTTCCTGGTTTTTGTTTTGTTTTGTTTTCTGTTTTTTGAGACAGTGTCTTGCTGTGGTTCAGCCTGGCCTTGGACTCACTAGCTCAGGCTGGCCTCAAACTGGGTAATCCTCCTGCCTCAGTCTCCTGAGTGCTGTGATTACAGGTGTGCACCACTATGCCCAACTTCTCCCTTGTTTTAAAAAGATTATGGGGTTATAAATATAAAGTTTCTAATATAATGACTGGCTCATGATAGATGCTGAGTGAATAATAGCTGCTATTGACATAATTATTTTATTGTTCAAGATTCAAGATCACCTACCTTTTGTCCTTTTAGCCATTTTCTGCTCTAGTAGAGTTTGACGGAGGAGAAAAATAAGCCTCTTGCCACTCTAAAGTCTCAATCTGTGTGTGCACGTGCGCGTGTGTGTGTTTCTTAGAATTGAACCTAGGGCCTTCTTGAGCTACATCCTCAGCCCTTTATTATCTTTTATTTTGAGACAGCACCTTGCTAAGTCACTAAGTTGCCCACAATGACCTTGAACTTTAGCTCCTCCTGCTTCATCCTCCCAGAGTGATAGGATTACAGCTGTGCACCACACCACCTGGCTACCTCTCTCAAGCCTTTTGGCAATGTGCTTCCCTTTCTCCTCTCTATGTATCAGTTATCTCTTGCTGTATATAAAATAAACCCCCAAACTTAGCAGTTTAACACAATAAACATTTATTTTCTTACACTGTTTCTGGGGATCAGGAATTCAGGAATAGCTCAGTTAGGCGGTGACTCTGGTCCAAGGCCTCACGTGGGGTTACAGTCAAGGTATCCTGCAGGTCTAGTCACTAAAGGAGAAGCAAGGCTGGAGGATCTGCTTGTCGGGTGACTTATTGGTGAGTTCATGCTGATTAGTGGCAGGAGGTCACAGTTCTTTACCACATGCAGCTCTTGAGTATTCCTACAACATGGTGGCTGGCTTTCCCCAGAGTGAGGGACCCAAGAGCGACCAAGGCAGAAGCCAGAGTGTATTTCTTGACAGCTTCGTCTCTGAAGTATCCTGTTAGGCATGCAGGGGAGGCCAGTTCTATCCCACATAGGAGAGGACCACACAAGGACATGGTTTCTGGGAGACAGGGCCTTGGGTCTCTCTCAGAGCCTGTCTACTACACTCCGTCTCCGTGAAGGTTAGTTTGAATTACTTTCAGGATTGGACACAGAGTTAGTGGTGAGGTGGGAGTGGGGATTTCAGATCTCCTGGTTGGATACTAGTGCCAACCCTCCTGGTGCAGGGACCAGAGGTGTGTGAATGGAGTCAATGTTTTCAGTGACTTCCGGTAAGAACTCTGGATTGTAACGGAAGCCTAAGCAGGTGGACTTCCTGGTACTCTGAAGGGAACTGAGCTAAAATAGTGTTTGCTCTTTTCACTTACAGATCCCGCAAGTGGGAGCAGCATTGACTGGGCATATGACAACGGCATAAAGTATGCATTCACATTTGAGTTGAGAGATACAGGGCATTACGGCTTCCTTCTGCCTGCCAGCCAGATCATCCCTACTGCGGAGGAGACCTGGTTGGGCCTGAAGACCATCATGGAGCATGTGCGGGACAATCTTTACTAATGAGGGGGCCCTTCTGTCTATGTGGATATGTATCCTTGTGCACACTCACTGAGGCTACTATTAAAGGAGCTCATTCCTTCATGCTTGAGCCAGACTCTCTAGGTTAGAGTGCATGGTTGGGCCGTTCCCTGGAGTTCCCTGTGAGGAACGCTTCCCCAGCCTGCCCTGTTTGGTCCTGTTGCTTTGCTGAGCCTTTGGTATACCCCTCCTTCCACACAGCTGGTTGGGAAGACCATAGTCAGGGTCATCCCTTCCTGGATGACATAGCTCTACCTCATTTTTAGAACCAAAGAGTACTTCTGATGGTTCTGTACCCTCCTCCACATGTAGCCAGGTAGGCTCTTGTGGGGCCCACAGAAAGCACTGTATGAGACAATATTTATCTTTAGTTGGGTCACAAAGATGACACAGACAGAGCTTCCTTTAATTTATTTCACTCTTTCTGGACTTCATTTTTCTTTTTCTTTCTTGAGATGAGGGTCTCACTCTGTTGCCCAGATTGGTTTTGAACTCTTGGGCTCGAGTGATCCTCCCATCTTGTCTCTTGAGTAGCTGGGAATATAAGTAGTGCACCATGGCACGAAGCTCAGGGACATATTTTTCTTTGAGCAACAAATCCTGTAGGGTCGTCAGTGTGGGTCACATTCATCCCCCTTCTTTTTTGGCCTGAGTACAAAGTAGAAGCTCTCTGCCCACCACTAAGCTAAAGAATTTCCAGATACTACAGTTCTTATCTTTTTCTTCTCTTTTATATCCAGTATAGCTGGGTTCTCAGAAGGAGATTAGTGTCACTGTAGTTGCTGCTCCCCCGAGATCACAGAGGAAGTGGCAGGCTATGTAGCAGGATTGCACAATTGTCCCCATCTGTCCGAACAGGCTCATCTCCACTTTGCCTTTTGAACTCACTTTGAAGATCTTGCCCTCACCCCATAGACCCTAAATCTTCCTCTGGTCTGAATAATCTCACGGCCTTGGCACATTCCTGTTTGCTTCTTCTTCTTCTTCTTCTTTTTTTTTTTTTGCCTTTAAAGTTACCTTCCTCTATTGTGCGTCCTGGACCCTGAGTACCTACATGGAACACAAATTCATCAGTCACACACCTCTTCCACTATTTCTCCTCAGCACCTACCATCTGTCCTTTTTTCTTTTTCATGCATGTCTGTAAATCTTAACCTTCTGCCTAGGATTTGTGCAGCATCTGGTGTGTGCTTATAAGCCAATAAATATTCAGTACAAGTCTCATGATCATCCTCTATTCTTTGCCTTCACCTGAATGGAACCAAGCCCTGGTTTTGAATATGCAGCTCTTGATAATGTCAAAAGTCAATTGTAATCCCTATCCGGATCGCATGCCATGTAGGACGGCCTTCTTCATCAGGCCCAGGGGCCTCCAGGGCAATGTTACCTTGGTGATTTAACTCTGTTTTGGGTCTAGATTTGAGATTTTCAGCCCACAAGCTTGATATTCTCATTGTCCATGTTGATTAGTTCTGGGGATGCTGAGTCACATCTTCAGAGCACAGATGAGGCAGATGATATAATCAGAATACGAATTTATTAATTTACATCATGGCATGTAACTATTTAATGGATTGGATCCTCACGTTGGCCTGAACAGTACATTCTCAGTACATTCTCTCCCCGTAGGCAAGATACATGGGAAGCCAAATTATAATCAGAAGGTTGCTTAGTGAGCAGGCGTCAGAGCAAGGAAAGTTAATTACAGTCTATGATTAGAATTTTTAATGGCACCCATCTCTAATAGCATGATATATCTAGTTCTATAAACAGAACACACTTGCCAGCCAGTCAGCTCATCACTTGTGCTGGCTAGTCAAGGCTGTCCCACACAGTTAGGACAATGCCTTGGTAGGTGTGACAGTGCTTCCCTCTGACATGCCTGGAACCTGTGACTTCTGCCCTTGAAGCAAGGATTTAGGACATAAAAAAATCATAAAAAGAAAAGGAATATTACCTGTGAGCATAGTAAAATCAAGAACCTTAGTTCATTAAAACCTGCCATAAAGAAAGTGAGAAAACAAGTCAATTGGTAGAAGGTATCTACAATGTTCCTAATACATACCACAAACAAAGAATGTATGAAGATCTACAAATCAACACAAGCACAAATAACCCAACAGAAAAGTGGGGAAAATATATGAGCAAGAATTTCACATAAGAGAAAGTGGGTATGTCTGATAAATGTATGAAGGATGACTAGTGATTGAGGACATGCAAAACCAGACTACAGTGAAACCCATGTTATACTCATTTAATTTACACATATCAAGAAGATATGTGTAGAGAGGATGTGGATGACGGGTCTCAGATTACTGGGGAGGTGGATTAGAAAATCACTTTGGAAAACGGTTTCGCACTAACTTCTAAAGTGTAAACCTTACAATCCAGCAACTGGAGTACTGGGAAGGGGGTTCTCTGAATCCCCATCTCTAGGTCTTACACCTGGCTCTGCTGGACTGAAAGAAGACCTTTGTGAAGCAGCTGGCAGGGTGAGGAAGACAGTCTGTGGCTGTGGACGGGATTAGCTGCCATCCATGGGTCACTTATTGCGCTGCAGTGATCTGGATACCAACAATCTGACCATCTCCACTTCTGTCCTCAGGGTCACAGACTGCGGGGAGCAGCAGAGTGGCTCAACTCTTTCATTTAGCTGTGTGACCTTGATGTGTGTGCCATGATGAAACCTCTGGGAATCTGGGTTTTTTTCCCCCCCTCTTTTTTTTTTTTTTTTTTGTGGTGCCAGGGGTTAAACCCAGGGTTTTGCAGATGCTAGGCAAGCACTCTGTCCCTGAGCTAAACCCCCAGCCCTTCCCATTAATAATGAGAATAATGATAGTATCCACAGTGACTTATCAAGAGAACTAAATGAACTGATATATTAAAGTACTCAGTACCTTAACTGGCTGTAGAAGCACTCAGTATGTGTTAGGAGTGGTACTCTCACCGAGTGATGGAAATTCATTTATGAATCAGATTGTTGGCATTTTCCCAAAGTAGAGACTTACTTGCTCCAGACTTTCATGAGACTTATTATAAAGATTTCAATGGTTTGCAGAAAAACATTAGCTGGATATTTAGTCATTTTTAGTATTATTTGGGTTTTGAATATTGGTTTTATAGAGAGCTTTCGTATGCTATGTAGATACCAGTGCCCCTGTACAAGATTAAAATGAGACCACTGCCTGAAGCCTTCATAGGCTCAGCTTCCAAGCACAACCCTTTCGAGCATATAGGGTCAACTCTGAGAGTCACAGGTCCTGGGAAGTTCCTGCTATGAATCTATTTTGGGTGAAGTTAAGGGTATATCCCAACTCTGGAATCTCCTATGTAGATTGCACGTTGTTTAAGTTACTATATAAAGACCAACTATATGGAATAATTTTTATCATCATCATCATCATCATCATCATCATCATCATCATCATCATCCTTATTTTCTGTTTGGTGAACTTTGGAATTTTGCCAACCTAGGAAGCTTATAAAATAAATTCTCTTTGCTATTTATATTGAGCTTTAAATCATGGACACCAGCTGTTTCTTGTATTTGAATAAAACTCCAGGTGTATTGGAGCCATGAAGGGAGCCAGGGAGCATAGGCTGTTCTTATTCTTCTCTAGCACATATATGGGTATTGTGGTGCAGCTAGGGAATTCACTCTGTTAATGCAGAAAGTGAATCCTGTCTGTGTGTGTGTGTGTGTGTGTGTGTGTGTGTTATGACCTACAACACCAAGCTCATTAGCTAGTAAATATTTGTAGATTTGATTTGCTGCAGGCAAATTAACAATCACATAAGCTATACTCTCAACTAGCTAAGGACAAGAGGAAAAGAGTACTTTTTCCAAAAAATATGATATGAAATTCTGGAAAACAGCTTGGAATGCATGTCTCAAAGTTCCAAGGGAGACAATATAAATTAAATGTGGAGATAAGAAAGGCTTGATATTGGTTAAATTGCTTGCAGTTTTGTAATGATTTATAGTTTTAAAATGCTTTATAGATATTGGATAATTAAATTACCATAGCCACCTGGTGATATACGCAGGATGGGTATTATTATCCCCTTTTAACTGTTAAGGAGATGAAATGCTAAAAGAAGCAAAGTAATGTGCCTAAACTTACATGGATGGAAATAATGAATGTATCTTAAGACCTGGTCCAGACTGTTACTGAGAAAACATAGAGGCCAGCAGTGTGTCATTGACTTTGTTTTTAAATTTGAATACTTTAAAAATATACGTAGTTCTTATAGTCCCTCCAGTCTCACAGCTCTGTGTTATTTGCTTGGCTCTTGATATCTTTGACTTTTCAGTTTTGCAGTTATAAGAGGGAATTTAGGGAGGAAAAGAGCCAGGTCTCCCTTGCTGGCTACTATTGCTGGCTGAAGAAATACACTGATTGAGGCCATTGTGTGGTTCCCACAAGTTCTTCTGCCACTTTGGGCCTATGCTGAGGATGGCTATCCAGGGAGAATTATGGGTAATGTTTTCCTATGAAATACCTGGCATAGGCTGAAGACTCTATTTCCATCCTTTCTGGAATTATGCCTTTTTATAAGGTTTGCACAGACTGTAGGACCTCCTCCCCAACTTGTACCTACCCAGCCTCCCTCAGCCTTGGAAGACAAAATGTCCACTTCTCTCAACAAGCAAATAGATGTATTCTGTTTAGATATTTAAACAATTTGGCCTAGACTTAGAAAACCATTAACCTAGGTTTGGAGCTTGTAAGCCCTTCAAGGGCAGAGCCAAGGTTTTATTTAGTTTGGATCCCTAGCACCTATGCACATAATAGCACATCATAAAGATATATTGAATAAACACCTGTAGCAACAGTCAATTCCACAGCCAATGCAAAAGAAGCCCAATGTTTTCTTTCCACTTAGCTATCTGTCTTCAGCAATCTTCCTTCCTCAGCTCTGCGTTCTTCACTGTGGCATTGTTCTTTTCTGATGGATGTGAGAAACAAAAAGGTCAGGGAAAGCAAAGACCTTCTGTTTCAATTTAAGCAGACCTGTATTAGAAAACCCAGAGAAACCAGGCCCAGTGGGAAAGGATTACCAATCTCATCATTGTAAAGTGGTATTTCTAAAATATTCCCAGAGGCAGCTGGTGGGTAGACAGGTATTAACTTAGTTAAGGAGGCATATCAAAGAAGCAGGCACCAGATCTGCCTGCTCCAGGGCCATCAATAGGATCAATATTTAACAGGCATGTCTCTATATGTCCTTTGGGCTCCCTAGCACGTGGCTCCCATCTAGAAGTCTTCAGTTTATATTGGAAAACAAATGAAGGTGTGTAGCCTGGAGGATATTCATTCAAGCTGGAAAGGGGCAAGATTGGTAGGCTGGGGAAGCCCTGTTAATGGGCAGCACTGTTTCCATCCACTCACTGCCAGTACTGCAGAGAGGTGGAAGGGACCAGGTGCCAGCTCTGCTGTTACCGATGTCAATGGTATTATGATCTTTGGAAATTAAACCAGGAGATGGGGTGGAGGAGGTAGCAGATCTCCCTTACTCCCAATAGAAGGAGAAATAAAAACAAATTGATCACTTGGTGGTGGTGGGTGTTCATATCTGATGGAGCTTTTACTCCAGAAGTATAAGATTTTACTTTTTATTTCTCTAACACTTGGATCCAAACTTGTAGATCTTCCTCAGTTGCTACCATTAACTCTTGAGCAATGTGAAGAGTGAAGTTGTTACTTAGGAATTCATGCCCAGTGTTCCAAATCTTTGTTTTTTTTAAAAAAACATCGTGAAGTATATCTCAAAACTCTCATAATTTCAATGGCCAAAGTACTTATGTGGTCCTGGGAAAGGATAGGTCCCACTCTTTTGCAAGAACCATCTTCCAGAATCAGGCTACCTGCTCCTTTCCTATATAATAAATGCCCGAACATGAATACAAAGCCTAAAGTATGAAAATCTAGCACTAGACACAGATTATAATGAGAAGTCTACTTCCAGTGAGCCAAAACCTTGTGCTCAAAGTGGAAGGACAACATCAAGGAACATAAGGAGGTTGTCAGAAACAATCTCTGGCACCACACCAGACCAAGTGAATCAGAATCTGCATTGAATATGAATCCTAAGTAATTCAAATATGCAGCAAAGTTTGGAAAGCGCTAAGGACACACACACACACACACACACACATATACATATATGGTGAAGTATAAATATATATGTAAATATATCTATATTTATACTTCACCTC